TGCCATAGGAACTTCCCCTTTTATTGGGGGGGGGGGAATCTTTTCTAGGATCCCTTAGCAGTTCTTTTTCATTTCATTGAATCGCACAGATGTACACTCCTACACCAAATAGGGGCAAAGGGAGAATGGGATTGTCGTGGCTGACTCTGATCAGTTCAGCCCTAGGTGTCCACTAGAATCACCTGGGAGATTTATGAAATGCTTGTGCCCTACCTTTAGTGATTCTCATTTATTTGACTCGGGTGGGGCACAGATATCAGTATCTGTAAACATTTTCCCAGTGGTTTTAATATGAAGCCAGTTGAGGGCCAATGGGTTATGCCAATCTTGATAATGTGCCTTAGTCCAGGCATACTCCTATCATATGAAAAGTCAAGTTTTATTAATCAGAAGGGTTTGGTAGACTCTATGGCTCCCAAGGTCTAGCAGAGGAGCTTACAAAAGCAGATCTAGAAACTTTCCCCCCACAGAGAACATACCTGAATTCTACAGGGGACATTATTTACTTAGGTCCCTCCATAAACTTAGTTCAATTCATAGTGTTTGTAAATTTAAGCTACTGTCTGCGAAAGGCCCTGTATTGGCTGTAGGAACTGGGAGCAGAGCACAATTTTTCTTTCCCTTGTGGGCCAATTTCCTTTTAAGCATTCCTTGGATCAAGGCTGAGGAAGGCATTGCATACCTGGGATTCCAGCAACTCAGGAGACCGAGGCAGGAGGATCACAAATCAGAGGCCAGTTTTGGAAACAAAAAGGGGGTGGGGAGGGGATGTAGTTCAGTGGTAGAGCACTCCTGGGTTAAATCCCAAGTATCACACACAGAAATAGAAAAAGCATCCCTACACTCAGCACCTACATGAGTAAGTGCTAAACGTAGTCACAAGCACTTAGAGAAAGGCAGATTATTGGGCAGGCACTGGACTCAAGCAATGGGCAGAGGAGGCTGAGCCTCCAGCATCTGGACCTTCAGTGGAAAATAACACTGAAGGCAAAGTCCAGTGTTAGACCAGGACACAAGAAAAGACCACTGACTCCAATTAAAATCAAATTAAAGCAAGCTTATTATTTCGACCGGCCGGGCTGCCTCTCCCTCCCAAAACGGCGGGAACAAGACAGCCATCCCAGCTTTCCTGCAGCCCAGCTTTATAGCCCAGAAAGTTACACAAAGTGGGGGTTACAGATAACAGAACTCTGACGAGCATGACACTAATGGTAGTTTACATTTTTTGCTGGCCCCAACATCAGAATTTATGAGGACCATTAGAGCCTCAGAGAGGGTCGTTGTCTGGCCAGGGAAGGCCAATATTTATGAGGTGTCACTAAAGTTTCAGAGAGGGCTACTATCTGGTCAGAGAGCCAGGCATGGGTGAGTTCAAGGCACGGGCAGGCATTCCAAGCAGGTTCAGAATTTGCAGTAATTTATAGTAAAGCTGAAATTATCTTTTCATGGCTTTGTGGCGAGATGCCTCCCAATTTTAAGAAAAGATCAGGTTGGGTCTATCACCAGAAATATGAGTTACACTTTCCTCCTGCTGTGAACTATTAGCCTTCACTTTTCCCTTTTTAACTTAATATTAAGTACTCATATTTGCTAGACAGACACTGGCACACAGAATAGTCTTGATTCTCGTCATAGAGCCTGTGGTCTAAGTAGAGGAAACAAGATACTAATGAAGTAAAACAGACAAATCGATTATGGTAAGTGCCATGAAGGGAAATAATAGGCTCTTATGAGAGAATTACAGGGCAATGTGTAATTTAAAGGCAGCCAGGAAAAGCTGTTTAAAATTAAATGGAGGCAGGTATAAAATTCAGATTAGGGGCTGGGGTTGTAGCTCAGAAGTTGAGCACTTGTCTCATATGTGTGAGGCACTGGGTTCAATCCTCAGCACCACATTAAAAAATAAATAAAGATTATGGTGTCCAAAAAAAAAAAAAAAAATCAGATTAGAACATTGCCCTTCAGTTTCCTGACTTCTTTAGAGAAAAATTAGAGAAAATGTTTAACTTCCAGAAAGACCCATGTTTTTAATATATATATATATATATATATATTTAGTTATCAATGGACCTTTATTCATTTATTTATATGTGGTGCTGAGAATCTAACCCAGTGCCTCATGAATGCTAGGCAAGTGCTCTTCCACTAAGCCACGACTCCAGTCCAAGAAAGACCCATCTTGCATAAGATTCAGATGGACAAGTGAAATCCACTGAGATGCTGGTCTCTGAGAATCTGCTTTCTCAAGATGGTGGAGAAGCAATATGCTTATGGATTGTTGTTACTTTATATCTTGCTTGTTACTCTCTTGGTTGCCTCTTAGTACCTCCTTTCTCTTTTCATATATTCCTCTCATGTTCTATCTGCCCAGTTGCCTTTTGACCCCTCCTTCCGCCCTCTCTTGAAATTAGGAATTTCTACTAAATGTACTCAGAAGTATATTCACTCAGGAATTTGGATAAGTGAGCATTACATCACAGTAACGCTAAAAATAACATCCTGAAACACTTGTTCAAACTGCAAGCATAAATGTCAGCCATCTCCCAAGACAGAAACAACAGATAATCCCGACTTGTTTAGAGTTGTGAACAAGGTACCTTTACATCTTCAAGTTTGGGACTCAAACTGTGGGCCACAGACCAACAGCATTGAATTACTTGGGAGTTTGTTAGAAATGCAGAATCTTGGGCCTCAAAGAACCTACTAACTAGAATCTGTATTTCATCCAGGTCCCCAGTTGTCTCACAAGTACATTAAAGTTCGAGAAACACTGGCTTCTCAAAGGAGGATCCCCAAGGAGAGAGTGAACAGAAGTGATCACCTTCTTCAATAGCACTGATATTCCATATATATTACATATCTTAATTCCCTGTGTATTTTATTTTCTCAGTACTTTTTTGTTTACTAATATTCTCTCATGATTTTCATTAGTTTGTTTAAAAGTTACATGTTTTTTCTAGAAAATAATGATATAGATCTTTAAGGTCTAGAAAACTTGCTGAGGGGAGTAAGGCACTCCTTTTTCTTTAAATAAAAGCTAAGCCACCTCGGTTAAAAGTTAGCTTTGTCTGCTACTAGCATTTAGTCCTTAGATATGATATATGCTTATATATGTATTATTCCTGCTGTTAGGAGAGAAAGGCAAAAGTCCAGCACTCTGAGAACGAGTTTGGTGTGTAGACTATTGCTGGGAGCCATTAGCCAAGTAGGTATGACAATTTCCTTGCCAGCGTACCCCATGTTGCTTAGTGGAAGGACTCGTGGAAATAGGACATTTTGCAGTGACATTGCATGTAGGTGACCTTGCTCAAGGACCAAGGCGAATCCGGGTTTAGGGTGTTCCCGGTTTAGGGCGTTCCCGGTTTAGGACTATCCGGGTTTAGGGTGGTTCCAGGTTTAAGATTATTCCTGCTGGGAATAGGGCGTATCCTGCTGCCTGAGTTCCCCTTGAGTTCTCACGGGATTCAGACAGTATTTTCTGGGAGACAGAAGCCCAGTGGGGGTGGATTTGGGCAGAGAACGTGGATTTCCCCAGAACGTGATTGTAGACGGCTGGTGTGAGTTCGGGAATAAAGAGTTGCTGTTTGAATCTACAAGCTGTGTGGTGGCTCCTGATTCTGTGCCCAGCCAGACTGCGGCAGACTATTAGTTTTGTTCATTGACTTTGATCAAATCACCAGATCTTCCTTGGTTTCAGATTGTCACCCATAAGTATCCAAGTTTAATATTATATATCAGTAAAGATGTATGCACATACACACATATGTGATTTTAAGATTTAAAAAAAATAAATGTTGAACTGGTATAAGACAGTGTATATGTAAGGTATAAAGTATCAGGATACAATGAAATCTATATAGGTAGTAGAAGAACCTATATAGAAGTAGAAGAACCTTATCATGCTTCTTTTTAATCTTCTATGTCCCTGTCAGATACCATTCACTCTCTTGTTCCTCCAATCACTTCACAATTTGCAATCACTTTCTTTTCTTTAGTTTTACATTTGCAATTCTAAATCATGTATTGTTTACTTTTGCAGGTCTTTGAGCTTTTGTATTAATAGAGTCATACTGAATGTGATTTGCTTTTCTCTCCTGACATTATTTTCCTAGTATTTATCTACTTCTTCATCTCTGAACCAATACAATGCTGCTTTAGCTATGATTCTTGATAAGGAAACTCCTGCCTGTCAAGCAGTGTCTTGGCTATTAGCCTTTTTTGTTCCTCCACATGTATTTTAGAATCAGCTTGTCAAGTCTTACCAAAACAAAAAAAAATCAACAGTTGTGATTTTGACTAGAATTGCACTAAATCATTAAATTTGGGAATAACTGTTATTTCTACCTTATTATATATTCTTATCTGGAAACATGGCAATTTTATAATTTTCTCCATAAAGGTCTTATGCCTCTTGAATTATTCACCTCAGGCTTCCATAGTACATACTGTAGAAGGTGTACCTTAAAGAATTTAGTTTCTTAGTTTTGGAGGCTGGAATTCTGAGATCAGGGAGGCAGCACAACCGGGTCCTGGTGAGATCCCTCTTCCTGGCTTGTAAGAGATGCCTTCTCCCTGTGTCCCCTCATGGAAGGGAGAAATCTAGAGTTTTTCCTATAAGGGTACCAGTTTTATAGTCAGGTCTCCACCCTTATGACCTCATTTAATCTTGCCTCCTTAAAAGCTCTATCTCCAATGTAGTCTCATGGGGGATCAAGGATTCAGCATAATGAATTTTGGGGGGACACAATTCACTCCATAACACATCTTTTGTTAGATTTAGTCTTAAATTCTAATTATCCTTGGTGCTATTTTATGAGGTGGTATTTTTTATTATATATTATATTATATATTTATTATATATTATATTTATTAATTTATTATATATTATATTATATATATATATATACTTGCAAGTAATTTTTATATACTGATTTTGCAAAAATTTGCTTTTATATAAAAGACAGCATATAAAACCCCTAAGAATAATGTCACCAATTGTTAACTCTGTTGAAAATTTCTTTATTTCAGATTTATTACTTCACAAGAGTTACATAATCCTTAAAACTTTAGTGTGCAACAGACCATCACATAAGCTCTGTTATTTACTCCATTATGTTCATTTACACATTAGTTAGTGGGAAAAAAGTCTGTACAATATTTTAATAATTACATGATTTGTAACCAAAAGAAAAAGTAGCAAGTGCCAAAGAACTCCCAATGTATGACAGTGGGATAACCACTCTCAAACACAAGAAACTAGGCAATAAAGGAAAATTTCCTGCTCAGATATTATAAAATGCTAATGGCATTTTATGATGAGATAAAGGCGTTAAGTTAGTATACAACTTACTGGGCAGATAAAATTGCCATATTATTTATACTTTTGCATTTAAATTTTTGTAGTATAGTACTATCCATTTCTTTGACATTTAATATTACACCAATTTTTAAGTCTGGGTTCTCAAATCAGTGGCTTGATTTTTTAAATAGTGTCTGATATACCACAAGTGCTTTATTCATTTATCTTTTCTTCTTTCAAAAGGTTTAGTGGGACTGTGCAATGCTGGAGCAATAATCCAGAATGTCCTGAATAGTGAATTCCATTGTAACACCAGATCCAGGATAACAGCGAGCTATCAAACCTTCAAAGTGCTTGTACTGGCGTATAAATTCATCTTGCATGGAGTGCCACACCACCTATTATTAAAAAGAAAACAAGGGTTGGGGTTGTAGCTCAGTGGTAAGATGCTTGCCTAGCATGTGTGAGGCACTGGGTTTGATTCTCAGCATTGCATATAAATAAATAAAATAGACATCCATTGACAATGAAAAAAATTTTAAAAAACCCCAAAAGTCATTAAATTATGAATGGAAATAATTCATAATCAAGTCTGTAGAAATAATTGCGAGACACTGTCTAAGAATTTGGCATAGTATAGTGGTTAAGAACATGCATTCCGGAGCTAGAATCCTAAGACCTTCTGCCTACAAGATCTGTGGCCTCAAGTTCATCTGTAAACCAGGGTATTAATAATAATACCTTCTCATCCTAAGATTCCTGTGAGAGTTAAATGAATAAACACATGTATAGCACTTACAAGAGCATCAGACACAAACACACACTCATTATGTTTTAGCTATTATACCAACACAGATATGGCTATGCACAATTATGTAGAGAACTGACTATAGATTAAATGCGATGCAACAATTAAGTTTAAATTCCATTTCAGATCAAGTTTAAATTTTTCTTTATCTAAAGGTGATGATGCAAAACACCGCTTGATGCTGGGGAAGACACCAGGGTGAGAGAGAAAACTATCTGCAATCGAATAACTATAATCCAGCAGTGGAGATATGTGGACCACTATTAAACAGAGTTTGCCACACACTGACATAGTGGCTTACGTTTATTTACATTTATTGAAGCTCACTCTGTATCAGCACAGTGCAAAGTGCTTTGTTTATGTATTATCCTATTTAAGTCTTAAGAGGACCTGGTGAGGGTGGGTACTATGATCATCATCTCCATTTCACAGATAAGGAAATATACTCTTCCAGGATTTTTTTTTTCTTGTGAACCTCATAAATCCCAATTTTCTATCAATTTAAGACTATTCACTATTCCCTAACCATTATTACACTTTTTATCTTTAAGCTCATGTTATTTCTTCCAGCTAGAATGCCATCCTCCCTACTTGTTAAAATACTGTTGACTTTCAGATGTCAACAAAAATGTAATATCCCTAAATAGGCCTTCTATGATGTTAAAATCAGAATTACTCTCACTCATCTCTGGGCCTTTCAGCATGGTTTATAAGGAACAATGGCTTAAGTTAAGGTTTAAATCTCTTTATCATCTATTAGCTATGAGGTCTTTGTCATGTTATTCCATATCTCTAAGCTTTGATTTTTCTTATTTGTAAAATGGCAATGACAATAACAGTAGTGTCCACATGAGCGAGGCATCATTTATACTTTTCAAATAAGGAAGAGATTATGGGGCTGGGGATGTGGCTTAAGCGGTAGCGCGCTTGCCTGGCATGCGTGCGGCCTGGGTTCGATCTTCAACACCACATACAAACAAAGATGTTGTGTCCGCCAAATACTAAAAAATAAATATTAAAAAAAATTCTCTCTCTCTCAAAAAAAAAAAAAAAAGGAAGAGATTAAGCAACTTGCCCCAAATCATACAGCTTCATCTGGATCCAGATTATGAACCCATTTCTGATCCTAATCTCTACAAGCCCACTGTACTATATTCCACACTAAGATCTAAACAAACAAAAACAAATCCAATCAAATAAAAGAGAAGCAAGTTAATGCCTTATCACAATAAAACATGGATATAAAATAAGCAGAAATGACTATAACCACAGAAATATTATTGCTTTCTTCTTCACAATTTATTAAACTGATTTGCATATTATGAAACTTTCTTCTTGCACTAAAAGTGGAAAATAGGAAGAATTTATAGAGGAATATTTTAGAGAAAAGCAATATATATTCAAAGCCAGGATGGTCAAAAGAATGAAGTAGCTGAGCACAGTGGCACATGCCTGTAGTCCCAGTGACTTGGGAAACCGAGGCAGTTCAGCCAGGGCAACTTGGTGGGACCATCAGAAACTTAGCAAGACTCCGTCTCCAATTCCCCAGAAAACTTGGAATGGAACTATTATTTGACCCAGCTCTTCCACTCCTCAGCATATACCCAAAGGACTTAAAATCAGTGTACTACAGTGATGTGGTCACATCAGTGTTTATAAGCAGATCAACTGCCCAATAGTTAAACTATGAAACCAACCTAGGTGCTCTTCAACAGATGACTGATTAAAGAAAATATGGCATATATAATACACAATGGAATATTACTCAAACTTAAAGAAGAATGAAAATTATGACATTTATAAGTAAATGGATGGAGCTGGAGAATATCATGTTAAGTAAAATAAGCCAATCCCAAGAAACCAAAGACCAAATGTTCTCTCTGATATGTGGATGCTAACACAAAGCAAGGGGCGGGGAAGGGAATTATAGAAGTTCATTGGATTAAACAAAGGGAAAGAAGGGAAGAGAGGAGGGATGGGATTAGGAGAGACAGAGAATGAATCAGACATAACTTTCCTTTATTCATATATGAATATGTGACCAGTGTAACTCCACATCATGTACAATCACAAGAATAGGAAGTTATACTCCATGTATGTATAATATATAAAAATATACTCTACTGTCACATATATCTAAAAAGAATAAAAAATTAAACAACAACAACAAAAAGACTAGCTCCAAATAAAAAAATAAGAAGGACTGAGGATGTAGCTCAGTAGAAAGATCCCCTGGGTTCAATCCCCAAACCAAAAACAAAACAAGTAAGCAAACCAAAAACCCCAAACCAAAAACCCTGAAGCATACCTGAAGTAAGTTTTCCTCTTCACATAAATGTTTATCAACCTTCTTATAGAGGTTATCTAGGCCTTTTTTCACTTCCTTTCCAGGATATTCTTTAATAACTTTACGAAGTTCTTGTTTGTTAAATGCAAGTTGGTAGCTCACTTCCTCCTCTCTTATACCTTGTGCTACTCGAGCCTCAACACCTTCAAAGAAATGCTTTAAGGAGATGAAAATAAATAATGGTTAAGAATGACTGTTGTTATCATTACAATTTAAAAAAAATCAGACAATAGCTGGGTGTGGTGATGCATGCCTGTAATTCAAGCTACTCAGGAGGCTGATGAAGGAGGATGGCAAGTTTAAGGCCAGCCTCTGCAACTTAGCAAGACCCTGTCTCAAAAATAAAAGTAGGGCTGGGTAATAGTTCAGTAATAGCACTAGCCTAGCATGTAGAAGACCCTGGGTTTAATCCCCAGGACTGAAACAAAACTAAACAACAACAACAACAACAAAAAAACCCAAAATGGTATTATGATACAGTACATATCCATTGTATAAAAACCAGACAACATGTGTGAAAGTATAAATAACAATCACCTATTATAACACTTAGAGATAATCATTATTAACATTCTAGATTTCTTTCTAATCTTTTGATGTAAGTACACAATTGAAATTACAACTCCATACCTTGCATTTTCCACTGAATATTGTGAGTTTTTTTGGTGCTGGGGACTGAACCTAGAGCCTCACACATGCTACACACATACTTTACTACACACCTTGATTTCTCTTAAGTACAAATTGTAATGGTTACATAATAATCCATCTAATAACTGAATCACTATTCAGTTAATGGATATTTTCCTTTTTTGGGAGTTGACAAAATTTAGTCATATCTTTAAAAATATCTCTTATAAATACAATTGTCATAAATATCTTTTGTATATAGTACTTACCCACAATACTAATTATTTTCTAGTAAAAATTTCAATAACTGAAATTACCCAGTGGAGTAGTATGATCATTTTGAAGACCTTTGTTGTGTACAAATTGCTTTCTAGGAAAGTTCAATCAATTTACATTTCTGTCAACAGTATATAAGACTGCTATCTTGAATTATTATAAAACCATGGTTGCCAGAGTACAAAAAGACTGTCATTTTATTCCATAATTTTTTGGCTAAATGAAATTAATTGCTTTCAAACATTTGTTTGAAAGCAATTAATTTCATTTAGCCAAAAACAGCTCCAGTATGTAACTAGGAACAGGAGCTGTTCCTAGTTACATACTGGAGTCTTGGTACTTTACTGATTTTTTAAAAAGATCTTCATTTAAATATATTGATTACAGTATGATTACAAATATTCTTTTCAGGTTGTCTTTAAGTATGTTTAGATTTTTAAAACATTTTCTTTAGTTGTTGATTAACCTTTATTTATTTACGTATACGTGGTGCTTAGAATCGAACCCAGTGCCTCACACATGCTAGGCAAGCACTCTACCAACTGAGCCACAACTCCAGCCCTATATTTGAATTTTTAATATGAAATTTTGCTGTCTGATATGCCTGTATTTAAGCACTTTACAATATGATTTAATACTGATAATGATAATACCCTGTCATTACTATTTTTTCCCCCCTTTGGGTACTAGGGATTGAACCCAAAGGTGCTTTATCACTGAGCCACATCTCCAGCTCTTTTTATTTTTTTATTTTGAGAATGGACCTCGCTAAGTTGCTTATGGCCTCACTTAATTGCTGAGATTATAGGTGTGTACCACCATTTCTGGCAATAAATGGATTTCAATACATTTATTTTTTGAATCTTGCCCCTTAATCAGAGACGAGTATTTTCAACATATCATACATATACTGGCAACGATAATCCCTACTCTCCATTCTTTAACTCTTATGTAGGTTTCAGGTCTTACTAGACTAGATAGAACTATGTTAAATAGTAAAGGATTTTGGTGATGTTTCCACTTTAGATTTAATTTAAAAGAAAATGCCTATAATGCATTAAGCATCATGCAGGTTTTAGGTGTGAGATGGATCTGTGTGTGTGTGTGTGTGTGTGTGTGTGTGATCATGGTTGAACCCAGAGGGTGCTTAATCACTGAACCACATCCCCAGCCCTTTTAAAAAAATTTGTATTTTGAGACTGGGTCTCACCAGGTTGCTTACAGTTGCACTAAACTACTGAGGCTATCTTCTAACCTATGATTTTCTTGCCTCAGCTTCCAGAGCCTCTGGGATTATAGGCATATGCCACAGTGCCTGGCTGAGATGGATCTTTTGTCTGATTAATGGAGTACCTGCTGGGCATGGTGGCACATGCCTGTAATCCCAGCAGTTTGGGAGGCTGAGGCAGGAGGATTACAAGTTCAAACTCAGCCTCAGTAACTTAGTGAAGCCCTCAGCAACTCAGTGAGACTCTAAATAAAAATGGGCAATAGGCTGGGGATGTGGCTCAGTGATTAAGCGCCCTTGGGTTCAATCCCTGGTTACAAAAAGAAAAAAAAAGTAGCTGTCTGATTCAGTTTTATAAGGAATTGGCTTTCTATATTTGATTAAATGTCTTTTAAATATTTCTTTGAATTATTTGCAACAGATACGTATTTGGTTCTAGTTTCAAATGAAAAAATTATAAAAGATGATTGATCACAATGTGGGCAAAGTTAGTTAGAAGGGTTCATTTAAGCTTCTGCTATGTTAAAAAAGTACCCTAAAATCATCATTTCCTTTTATTATTAGATCTGCTCTGTTGGGAAATAAAGAAAAGCAAAGGTAATGTACAAAACAAATCTTGGTTTCCTCTTCTCTTGGCACAGGCTGGTCATTATGAGGCAAGAATGGAAAGAGCCTGGTACAACAGAAAGCCCAGCCTGGGTTCACTCCCACCCCAGCTTTGCTTTAACAAACTATTTTGATGGCAGGCAAGTTTATTTACTTTCAGTTTCTTCATCTATAAAATGAGGGAATACTACCTTAGCTCAATCAATTTTCATAAAAAGAAATAATGTCCATAGAATATCTAGCAATGTCTCCAGACTGTCATCTTTGATAACTGAGTCTTTCTCCTATGTCAGTAGACCAGCAACTTTAAGATAAATAAATGCATGTTATTCACATGTAAACAGATGCACACAGGTACAAAACCAAGAAAAAATTCTGAATAAAAATATATTTACATTTAGTTTTTCTAGAGGCTGTCCTAAAGAGTAGATGACATAAGACTGAAGGTGATCTGTATATTTCTGTTTGGCTTCTTTTTTTTCAGCTTCTAGGCAGGAGATTTTCAAACGAGAAAGAGTTGCAAAAATATGGTGAAAGTTTTCCATCATAACCACATCCCTGGGGGTCTTCTGACTTTCATTTGCTACTTTCTCCACTAAAATCAAAGCAGAAAAAAATTATAAATAAAATCTCTGATATGACTATAACCATATTTAGTTATCAGCACAGTGGTGATTCTTTTTTTTTTTTTTTTCTCTTGTATGTTTAAGAATCAAGCACATTTCTGGACTAAATAAAAATAAATTTTTTTTTGTCTTGGAGAGTCTTTACAGACACCTGAACACAGTTAAGTCATCCTAAAATAGAACCATGTATACATGGAAATTTAGTATAACATGAGTTTTTTTTTTTTCCCACCCCCCGCAATAAAGGGGACTGAACCCAGGGATGCTCTACCATTGAACTTCATCCCCGGCCGTCTTTACGTTTATTTTGAGACAAGGTCTTGCTAAATTGCAGCATCTGGCTTTAAACTTGCAATCCTCCTGCCTCAGCCTCCTGGGCAGCTGGGATTACAGGCATGTGCTACCATGCCCAACATAAAGGTGACTTTTCAAATCAGTGGGGAAATGAAACTATTCAAAATGTTTCAGGACGAATTTTTTTTTTTGGTACTGTGGATTGAACCCAGAAGTGCTTGACTACTAAGCCACACCCTGAACCCCTTTTTTATTTTGAGATAGGGTCTTGCTAAGTTGCTGAGGCTGGTTTTGAACTTGTGATCCTTCTGCCTTAGTCTTCCGAGTTGCTGGGATTACAGGCATGTACCACCATGCCTGGCTAAACTGGTCCTTTTGAGTACACTAAATTAAATCCCTATTTCACATCTTTCACTAAACTCCAAGTTGCTTAATTACTTAAAATGTAAAATAAATGAAAGGCAATTGAAATAGTGAAATAGTTTATAGCTTATTCAGCTGGCAAAAAAAGTTGATAATACACAGTAATATCTAGCATTGATACAGCATATATAGTAATGGAAACTTTCACCAACTGTTCATAGCCCTAAACAGGTACGAGTTCACCATATCATGGTAATTTGGCAAAAGTCTTGAGATATATACAACCTCTTTGGCCCAGAAATTCTATTTATTTTACAATTTACCCTAAGGAAATTATTCAACAAGTATACAAAGATAAATAGAGACAAAGTAAAACATATTAATAGAAGATTTTAAAATAAATAATGAAATATGGAAGACTATCTAGTCATTAAAATGATTATAGTCATACATATTAATTGACAAGCATGCACAATAGGATTATAGGATTCAGCAGCTTCCAAAATAGTATGTGTAAGGCATGATAAAAAATTTTGCATTAAAGCACACATGCAGGAACACCCCCACCTCACACACAATATATATGTGCATATATACTGAGAAGAGTGACACTGAACGTTTTGGAAGAATAAAAATTGTCATTGCGGCTGGGGTTGTAGCTCAGTGGTAGAACACCCGCCTAGCCTGTGTGAGGAACTAGGCTCAATTCTCAGCACCACATATAAATAAATAAAATAAAGGTCCATTGACAAATAAAAAGTATTAAAAAAATTAAATGCTATCTCTGAACAATGAGATTACAAATGATTCTTGTTCCTTCTTGATTTTAAAAAATCTGTTTTTCAGGGCTGGGGATGTGGCTCAAGCGGTAGTGCGCTCGCCTGGTATGCGTGCGGCCCGGGTTCGATCCTCAGTACCACATACAAACAAAGATGTTGTGTCTGCCGAAAACTAAAAAATAAATATTAAAATTCTCTCTCCCTCTCTTTAAAAAAAAAATCACATAATGGAGGGATTTATTTTAAAAAAAATCTGTTTTCCAATTTTTTGAGGGGGTATTTAATAAGCACATTTTATTTTAGAATAAATAGTACAAAGCTAATTTGAATTTTAAAAGAAAAAAAAAAATCAACCAATCATTAAATCTATCTTTTCTCAAATGTTTCTATTCAAAATGTTATAAGCAACTGATGAAATGATTCCACTTCTTGTGAATTTCTTAGATTTTAAAATTCTTTTTTTAAAATTTATTTTTTAGTTATTGGCGGAAACAACATCTTTGTTTGTATGTGGTGCTGAGGATCGAACACGGGCCGCACGCATGCCAGACAAGAGCGCTACCGCTTGAGCCACATCCCCAGCCGCTTAAAATTCTTGAGTATAAGTAATCAGTACATTATTTCAAATTAAATGACATGTCTATTCTGTTTCTAATTTGATTGTGGGATTTGACTAGGAAGACAGTGAGTTATAGTATTATGGCACTAATCTCCCTGTGCAACAAAAACTGAGGCCTAAGGAACTGAATTGATTTGTTCATATTACATAGACATCACTGCTCATCATCTTCAGAGACTCTTGTTAAAATGCAAATATAATCTTGGAGATCATTTTTTGTGTTAAAAATGATTTTCAATTTTGCATAGTGATAAGCCCCTATAAACTCTTAAATGTAAATGGTTTCTGAATATGAACAGGTTTTATGTACTGCTTCCTTTTCGGATTTAAGAAACCTTTAACTTCAGAAAACTTAAAATAAGACTATAGAATATGGAAAAGGAAGGTCATTTGTGTCTCCAATGTTTGAATTACCAGAAATAATGAAAACAGTAGTTACAAAAATTCTTTAGAACGAAAGCTTACCATTAACAAACACTCCTCTGATGAGTTTGGTATAAGCTTTATCCAGATCTCCACGACGCTCTGCATTTTTAAAGATTGATTCTGCGAGTCCAGCAAATTCTTCAAATTCAGCAACAAATGGAAGGATTCCTACCTTACTCTTCTTTGAGATCTTTACTTCTTCCATTTGCCTTATTTGATTACTCTAAAGTTAGGCAGAAAGGAGGGGAGAGAAATAGCCAAGGAACTTAGAAACTAAATATAATTATAATCAAATGCATATAAGATGAAGGCAGGGACATTAGTACCCTAGAATATTTGGAATGCTTATTTATAGCTTGAACTGTTAAAGATGAATCACAACAAGGGTAACCACGAAATACTAATTGTATGGATTTTAAAAAACACTTTTCTAATATGTCTTATTTAAGAAAATAAGATTGAACAAGGAAAAATCAAACAAGACACATTGGAGAATTGTGAACTTCAGGACTGTTAAATAAAAACAATAAATATGCAATTCTATCATTTATGAATTTATGGGCGATTGCCCATTCTGTGTTAGAGCAGAGCAGATACCAGAGTACACGTAAGATCTCTCTGGGTTAGTAGAACTGATGGCCATGTGGCCAAGTTTGAGAACAATAGCCATTTCTAATTTTCATCAATCTAAAATTTCTGTTTGGATAGGAAAATTTTCTCTTTGGGAGTATAGTAATGCAGAGGGAGGACAGGTATTTCTATTATAGGTTTGTATTATAAAGTTGCCCATCTATTAATGACTTAATTCTAAGTTTAGCAAAGTGCTTGTGCTTGACAGTGATCAAGTGTAAAATGGGAATGTTTTATATAGACAGAATCCAGACACCAGCGTTGAAAAAGACCTGTTGCTTCAATTATGGATCTATGTAATTCTTAGGGGATCTAGATCTACTCACAGTCAAATTATTACAATTTCTTCCTATTGTTTAATGTGTCACAAATTTGGAAGTATAATTTGAACATATGAAATGGAGACATAATTATTTCAGGTATTAATATAAGAAGGCCCTGTGAGTACTGTCAACTATTTCATATTATCTTTACTAATGTTACCCTTCATGCTGATATCCATGAGGTGTAAATTTGGATGCAGCGGAGAAGGCAGTGGTAAGACTGCAGGTGCTTGAACCAGAATGTCTGGGTTCGAATAGCAGCTCTGTGACTTTTTAACTGTTGATTTCAGGTAAGTCACTTCACCTGCCTAACCACCTGCCTGATGGGAGAGTGGTGGTGGTATGAGATGGTGTGTGCAAAATGCTTAGATCTGAGCCTGGTACACAGTAAACACTAATTATGAATGCCAGTCTATTATTCTTACTAAGCTTCATATAGGTATTTCTCTGTGTAGCATTTAAAATATACAGGGCATATAGTTTGAAGACACTTGAACATTAATAGGAAAAGTGTTTGTGTGTGTAAACTCAGGCCACTGTATATACTAAACATGACCTCACACATGCTAGGCGAGCGCTCTACCTCTGAGCCACAACCCCAGCCTGCAGGGAATGTTTTAAATCCTCTCTGGATTTGTGTCAAGCACAGAGTAGAAATAGTGCATTCATTTAAGAAAAGGGTTATCAATGAGGAAATTCTAACAAAAGTCACCCAAATTTCTCTCAAGGTGGTTACCCAATCATACTGCCATCATCAGAACGACATGCAGGTTATTCACTGTTTAAGACTACAACTTTAATGATAGCCATATGTTATATTATTTGTTCAACTTTTGTCCATGGTAATTTAACTAAGTCAAATAATTCTTAAAGGTTTAAGAGTACAAGTCTGCATCACCATAATGTGAAGAATCCTGAAAAGCAAGTGAAACACGGTTAAGACAAGTTCTGGATCACAGAATTCAGCTTGGTAGAACTTGATGTATAAGTGACTTTAAATTTCGCTCTAGTACAGGCAAGGATAGCTTTCTTGTCCTATTCTTTGAAGAACACTTGATACTTTTTGCTTGGGCACCTGATGGAACTGTAGAACTCAGGTGCTGTTCTACATTCTGTAGTCATTTGACATTTATGCTTTTTCCTCAACACACACAGATCCTGTTTATTACCTTTTCAAATTCTTCATGCCCTAGGTTTTTCTCTTGTTTTAAGTGCCAAAATATACAATACATATAACCTTATTGGGAACATACAGTCTGCCAAACACTATAAGATGTGATTTAAAATAGACAAAGAGGTGAATGATAGGCAGCAGGTAGGTCCTTTAGATACATATGAAATTTAGGAGATAATGTGAATCTATACTTTTTTCTAGGTTACACCATTTTCTAGTACCTGTCTTGAGAGTAACAGGACCATTCTTTAATAAGCCATTCTTAATTACACAAGCTATGCGGGATTAGGCTCTTATTTTATGCCAGGTGTGTTAAGCACTTCATTTGAACCACTGTGTTCATCTATCTATTGCCACATCCTAAGTTCTACTGGGTCAAGCAAGAGGTACTCCATGAACTTACGTTTTAATGATAAAAACAACTAAGCCTTTACATTCTGTAAACATGTAGTGTCCTTATGATTTAGCATTACAACTGCATCTGCATCACATGGAACTCATTATCTTAACCTTTGGTAGCTCTTCCTTTTCCTTTTAGCTGTCAGCCTATAGTCAGACTTAGGCTGACAGCTAAATGGTCAACTTTCATAGTATTTCCAATACCAAGTGAAATCATGTTGGTAGGATTAGCAAGTTTATTAAAGAGATAGTCAAGTTCCTACAATAGATTGCTTTTATAGTTTCAGAAACTCTGTAAATATTATTTTACAGAGTACATAATAAAATACATATAAAAATGTATATACTTTTTTATAATTTTACATAAAGTATAAAAAAATGAGCCAGGTATGGTGGCATACACCTGTAATCTCATCTACTTGAGAGGCTAAAGCAGGAGGATCACAAGTTTGAGGTCAGCCTGGGCAACTTAGCAGACTCTAGTCTCAAAATAAAATGTTAAAAAATGACTAGAGATGTGGCTCAGTAATGGAGTGCTTGTCTACCATGTAGGAGGCCCTGAGTTCAATTCCTAGTAACCTCCCAAAATAAAAAATACATACATAACATGGATTTTTAATTGTCCTTAATATTTTTTTTTACCTCTCATTATTGCATGGATATTCAAGAGTTAGCTATAACTGAGAGGTTACAGAGTAGAAATACTCAAATGATACATACCTACTTTTAAAAAGTAAATGCATTAATAAGATTAAACCCTTTTTAAAGGATATGATCCAGCTCAATTCAGACGTACAAGCTTATGAAAACCTAACAGACAATAAAAAAAGTTGCTAATGATTTTTTTACCCTACCAGAATAAGAAAAATTATTATTATGATTATAATTATTATTATGATTACTGGATATTATTATAATAATTCATTCTTAAAGCAATACAATTATTAAAATTATTAAACTACTAAAATAAAGAAAACTATCAATTAAAATAATCAAAAATTAGCTTTCTCATAAGAATATAAGAAAAAATTGTAACAATAAGCCCACATGACAGTTTGACTTGTTCCATGAAGTCAATGGTCACTGGGATGTCAGTAATCAGTGGCTCTTTTACACAGCTGCTGCCACTGTGCCACCTACTCTGGAACTTGCCAAGATTCACAGCATAGCACAGATGGCATAGTGCCATCCCATTAACTGTTCATATAGGTTGACACCAATACCCATTTTTAAGGCTTTGGGGGATGCAAACATTAGAACCCCAAGAGAAAGCTGGAGACCCTTGATCTAAGTACGTAGTTTTAAGAAATGATTCAAATTATTGTTATAAAAAAAAAAAACTTACAATGCATTTGTCAAAGTTTCTTTTGACAGTCACTAAAACATTTCCCAATGTAGTACTTAGAAAAGAAGCAGGATCCACATTTTGTGCAGTCCATACATGGTGACTCATTTTGACTAGCATGTAAAGAGAGTTAAAACTATCAATTTTGTCTCCTAATGCAATTAGGTTGTTTAGTTCTGGCTCAATGCAGCGAAATATTTTAATCATCATTTGGCGAATCATATCTTTCCTGTTTAGAAAATATAAAGAATATAAAAGTTATTATAAGCTTCAGGTGAATTAATTCACAATATTAAAATAACTAAAATTTAGTATTTCAATGAAAAATGTCCAAACTGATGAACTTACTACTGTACAATTTCCAATATAAAAATATTTTAATGAAGGTAAGTTCTTATCGTTCCAATAAGCTTTATGTCATCTGTAAAGCTGGATTCTGAAATGTGTTTCATGAATACTAAGAAATCCATTACAATTCAAAGGCTGCCTCCTATAAGCAAATGTCAGAATTGGATGAATCTTCTGTGATTACTAGGAAGAAGAGTTGAAGGGCCACACAACACCAATTTTAATCCAGTAAAATGGACATTCTTATCAGTGCTGTCAGGTTACTGAAAAACACCTGCACTCCTCAATGAACAGCATTTCTCTATGTTTCAATTTGAAGTTTGTTTTTTTGGTGGCTGAGGATTAAACCCAGGGCCCTGCATATGCTAGGAAAACAACTAACTGAGCTATATCCCCAGCCCACTAAAAGTTAATTTTTTTTTCCAAAATAAATAAGAGACATTAACAAATACATACTCAGATGACACAGCCAATTGTGTGCTAGAATTATGTTGCCGTGATAACATTCCTCCATCCAGATCCTCTGCTTCAGTCTGTAAAAATTATTTAGGTACTTTACATAATAAAAGACCAACAATTTGACTAGTTTATATAGCAAAAGCCTGCTCAGTCTTAAAATGTCTAGGAGAGAATGCACTATGAAAAGTAATGATTTTTTATTGGTAGTATAATGATTTTTTAATGATTGTATTCCCAATGAAGCTATATAATTTAGTGTGCTATTTAAGGATATTCATGAAATGCATTTTTATTAGAATTTTACCTGAGAATTACTGTGGGGTGAGAAGGTGTATTTATCTGTGTGCACATGGTGGGGGGAGGGAGAGTGCTAGAGGCTAGGAATATTAGGAATGGCAAGGCAGCTCAACAAAAAAATGGAAAATGTCCAAAAACAATTTTTAAAAGAAAATTGAAATAATTAAGGAAACCTCACCAATCACTGTAACAAAACTTGAACATTTAAAAATATATCAGGGGGCGGGGGTTGTGGTTCAGTGGTAGAGTGCTCGCCAAGCATGCATGAGGCATTGGGTTTGATTCTCAACACAATATAAAAATAAAATAAAAGATATTGTGTCCACCTTAAAAAAAAAAACTGGAAAAAAACTGGCTGGGGTTTTGTGGCTCAGTGGTAGAGCACTTGCCTAGCATGTGTGAGGCACTGGATTTGATTCTCAGCACCGCATATAAATAAATGAATAAAATAAAGGTCCATCAATGTCTAAAACAAAAAAAAAAAAAAAAAAAAAAGAAAAAAAGGTATCAAAAATTCTTAGCAACCAACAAATAAGCAAACTTATCACCAATACCACCATTACCAACAATGAAATCCCAACCATTTCTAGCAACAAATGAAAATCAGTCATAAAAAAATGAATTTTTTATCTAAGGAAAACATTTTTAAGATGACCTTAATTTAAAAAATCACTCTATTTGTACTGTGTTTTTAAGTTCTTCAAATTTTCTATGCTAGAAAATCACTTATTTTGTTTCCTCACATTTATGCCACCCCAACGCATGCTGAACAGGCATCACTATATCCACTTTATAGAAGAGAAAACTAGGGATTAAATGATTGGCTTAAGGTCTGTAGTTAGTAAATATTATATACATACACATACACATTTTTTTCTTGGTAATTATTTGAAATGTTAAAATTATTTTTTTAATAATATTCTTTAGAAAGTAAACACAAACATTAGAGAATGTTTAGGTGTAAGACATTCTGGACTATCAGGTGCCCAAACTATCACTGCTTTGATTATTTTATGACATGACAAAATGTTTAAAGATCACTATATCACACATTCTTTCCTTTTCTGTTTGGATAATGAAACTCTGACCACATGTTATTTAGTTTAATTATGTTACAGACTATAAATACTAGTCAAAATAGATGTACATCATACCATAGTTCCAGGCATACTTGGATGTTGCTGCAGTTTGAAAAATTTACTTATGAAGTCCTGTTCTGCCAGACACAGGGGTTCTAGTTCACTTAGTACCTGTTCAAAGATCTAAAGAAAACCAAAATGATCCTATAGTGAAAAAGCTGTATGAAGTACTTAAAATAACATCCCCAATTAATTCCCTCTGTTATAAGGACCTGGATTATACTGCATTGCCTTTGGGCTTCTGTTGGGTTTACAGAACCCCACAGACACCCCTTTCTAAAAATGGTAGGACAAATATAATATAACCCAGGTAACACAGGCCCACAGAACATACTTAAAAAAACTCAAAAGGGTTTTTCTCTTCAAATCTAGGAAGTGGAACACAGAGATAAACTTTTAAAACTTATTTGATTAATGCAGAGCCCAGTTAAGCTGTTATTTTCCCTTTGTGGTTATTTGAATAACTTAGAGATGAGAGCACTTTATGACTGAATTATTTTTTTGGTACTGGAGATTGAACCCAGGGATGCTTTACCATGGAGTTACATTCCTAGTCCTTTTTATTCTTTATCTTGAGATAAGGTCTTGTTAAATTGCTAAGGCTGGCCTTGAACTTGTGACTCTACGGCTCAGCCTTTTGAGTTGCTGGAATTATAGTCATGTATTATAGTGCCTGACACTTTGTGATTTATAAAAATGAATTTTAATGAAACTTTTATGTTATTCAATTGATAATTCACATTTTAGCTGCCATTTGACTAGTATTTTTTTTTCCCCAGATTCAATTCAGAATTGGAAAGAAAGACATGGCTAATGTCTCAAAGAAAGCCCAAAGAACCTAAATCTTTGAAAACACTTAAAGCAACTGTAAACTGCTGTTAGAAAAGAAAAAGCAATGCTAATGGTTAAGAAGTACTTGTTTTATCTTACCTTATCAAATTTGGTTCTGTCGGCAACATCAAGATCAGATGCAGACATATTTCCCATATCCAACAGGGAAGATGACTGGGATCTGCGATTCCCTGAACTCTGAACACTGAGTTTATTTAGACTAGAAGTAGATCCAGTTAATTTCCCAGAACTTCCATGAAGACCTAAGAAATAATAAAACTTTGAAAGTTGTGATCTTTACAAATAAAAGATATGGAGTATAAATCAGGGCTACCTCCTATTGTCTTGGTCTTTTAGGACTCACATTACTTAGTGCACAAGGGGCAGGATGTACAGTGTCCTTGTTGTTTAGTAACATTTGTGTCCCATTCCAGTGCATATTGCAAAGAGAAGCAAAACTACACAGATCCATAGAATAGGACTGAAAGGACCAGTATGCTAACTTGATTTTGTTTTATTTCTGCAGAAAACTGCCTGAATCATTCATGTCCACCTTAAATCTGTATATTAGGTTGATCTATATGTAACTGCCAATACTTAATCATTTTGCCCTATAAAAAAAGAGTCAATTACATTTAATTCAACTTAATATATTCCAGGACCTAGAAACTCTGCTTTTTCCAGTAAATGAACTACTTAACTCCAGTTCTTTAAAAACTAGAAAAAATAAGGAAAAGCAAAGCATACCGAGAATTTATTATACTTAAAACATAAATTAAACCTAATGCATGTATCACTAATCATACTTATTATGAGATGTCTGTGTTTAGGTTGAATTTAGGTATCTATCATAGCCATGAAGAGAAGTAAGAACATATGGCTGGATAATCTCACAACACCAAGGAATTAAAGGATTCAAAATTTATAAGAAAATGTGATATTTTGACTCAGAATTTAAATACAAACAATACATATAATATTTAAAAACATTTTTCTTCAATACCTCTCAGTTAATTTGTACTACTTGCTAATAATGGTCAGAAGGGACAAATAGAGATCTATTAAGGGCAGTTAAGACAAACTTTGGCTTCATTATGCAAATCTGACCATATATGTAAATTTTTTAAAAATAGAGTTTCTAAATACAGCCTGAAAATAGAAGTTTGATGGTTAAGCCTTTTCATAAATTTCTGACACTAAGTTTTACTACTTGCCATATAATTTCCTATATTACATATTTCTTAGATATAACCATACCACTACCATCATGTTGGTTTTCTTTCTCCAATACCTGGCAGTTCAAAGCAATTGATATTTCTGGTATTAACTTTTTCAAGACAAATAACCAGTTACTAGACATTAAACAAACATGCATTGAGAATACCTTCTAATACACTAAGCATACTCACTCTCTGTTTCCTGTTTGACAGCACTTTCTTTTCGAGGCAGTGTAGCTGTGATGGATTAGGTTGCAAGCATCAAAGACAAAGACAAGTTAATAAACTGCAATTTGCACAAACCATGCACAAGAGGAAGTTAAAGCTCTAGTTTAAAAGACACATGCAAAGAACCATGAGCATCAAGTAACAAGAAGTGGAAACACATGTTTAGTTGGTCAGCTACTGTTTGAGAAATTATGAGAGAATAAACTTTACTAGTTTTTAATGTACTATTTTTTATATTCAGAAAAAAAAATCTATATTTCTCAACACCCCCACATACTTTTAAATGATTTTTTGTTTTAAACGTTAGGAAGCTGGTACACTTAAATTTAAAAGGTAATTTGCAAGTTCTGGTTTCTTGAGAAAATGAAGTTCAAGTAATAATTTAATACAGTGGAGATTTAATAGAACAAAGTTGTATATTTAGATATTAACAATCTTTGTTCCTTGAAAGTTCCTGAAAGAAATCTCTACTGTGCTAAATAATTTTGTACTCTATCTTATGAAAATTATGTAAGGGATTTAAGACCATTTTAAAATTAAAAACAAATATCGAGCTTAATTACTAATTGTCTTGTGAAAAAGCACATATTTAATACTAACAATCAGGAGATGCGGAAGGGGAAGGTTGAAGGAACAGATTTAATATAAGATTTTGAACTCTTTTAAGGTCATCTGGCATTTCTTTTATTCTAAAACTTTGCTTTATATAATATTTATATATCACTTTTAGAGCTCATCTTGTGAACGATGTTAAACTCAAATTAGAAGTTAATGTGGCGCTGGGGCTGTGGTTCAGTGGTAGAGTGGTCGTCTAGCATGTGTGAGGCACTGGGTTCGATCCTCAGTACCATATAGATATAAAATGAAGATATTGTATCCACCTAAAACACTAAAAAATAAATACTTAAAAAAAAGTTAATATGAAAGACAAAAAAAATAAACCATAGAATGAAACAGGAAGCTAAAGAATATAAACATAATCTAAAATTACCTTAAGAACAGAGAACAATGTGCCAGTTGACACCATCCCTGAACACTTCAAGGCAAAAGACCAAGTATAATAAGCTTTTAGCTTGCTAAACCTGTGATACAGATATCTTCCCAGCCATGGCTACCTGAAGCTCAAAGGAATATGAAACAAAAATCCTGCACATTAAAGTGGCAAAGAGGAATCGCAGTAGAGATAATAGCTAGCTAATCTGAACAGTACTTTCTACTGGTCTTTGGTTACCATTATGCTATGTTCACTAGTTTCAGGACAGAGCCTAATATTTACATAATTTTCTTTTTTTAGTAGCCAATAGTGAATACAGAGTTACTAGTAGTGCCCATTAATTATAATTTGGGGTTCATAAAAATAATCTACGTTATTTATCAGCAATAAGGAGTACTACTCAAGTAAAAATTTTAATGTCTTTAAATAATCCCTAGGAGAATATAAACTTAATAAAGATAGGGTCTTTGCTTGTTGCATTCTCAGTACCTATTGTATAATAAGTAATAGGTATTATTATATGTGATTAATGACTAATTATTGAATTACAATTCTAGCCAGCTGTGATTGAGTGTTGTATTCAAGAAGAGTTTTAGCATTAACAAGATTTCTTAGTGGAAAAACAATGATATAATGATTTTGGCACATAATTTTTAAGAATTTATAATATTAAATAGGAGGGAGAATAATAACAAATGAATATATTAAGTAACTGTCATGTAGAAAAAAATGATGGTGATTTAAAAAATAATTACTAAATTTCCTTTGCCTGCTATTTTATTGAAGTACATTTGTAGGCTATAAAGAAAAAAAAAGTACCAAAATATTCATCCTAGGGTAAAAATTCTTTGCCTCTGAGGATATCAAAGTAAACTTACTAATCAAGCTTATTAATGATCTATATAAAGACCTTATCACATACTTTCCTGGCACCTTTAATATATTTTGAATTATTTGAATTAAGTAGATATTAAAGACTTAAGAGTTGCTTAAAAAGAGAAGGATGTTCCCTTGGCTCTTTATAACTATACTGACTATGCAACTTCCTTTTGTTACATTCTATCTCACTGTTCATATCAGAGTTACTAGTAGTGCCCATTTCCTTTTGTTACATTCTTATCAGCAAGTAAAAAGCAATAGAAATTTAAATTTCATTTATAATTACTTAACTTTGATTCACTGAAAAGTTATCTTTCCAAATTTTCAGGTTTTTATTTTAGTTTATAATTATTATTTAAAGTTCATTTAAACATCATTTGGCTCATTGAAAAAAAATCTTTAAAAAAACTACATTTTATAATACAAGGGGGAGAAAAGAATGACAGTAGAGGGGGTAGAGAGAGAAGAGAAGAGGGGAGGGGAGGGGAGGGGGGATAGTAGAGGATAGGAAAGGCAGTAGAATACAACAGACACTAGTATGGCAATATATAAATCAATGGATGTGTAACTGATGTGATTCTGCAATCTGTATATGGGGTAAAAATGGGAGTTCATAACCCACTTGAATCAAAGTGTGAAATATGATATATCAAGAACTATGTAATGTTTTGAACAACCAACAATAAAAATAAAAAATTAAAAAAAAAAAAAACTACATTTTGCCTTATTTGGCATTTAGGTCATTTGTATTTAATGTGAAATTTACTTTTTTTTTTTAAATGAATGTTTCCAACTAATAAATTAGATCTTTAGAGATGAACCAAACTGTTTTTATCTTTTGAATTATTTAGTTTTCCTTCTTGCCCTCTTTTTTAAGTTTTCCTTCTCTTATAGCTAAGATCAAAATAACTGCTACTGTAGTTTTCTAGGTATCACAAAATTACTCTTCTATTCATTACTTTTTAATAAATACATAGGAAAAATGTAATTCTGACACTTCTAAAAACTATGGAACTGCCTTCTAAATGTGCATTATGTGAATTTATTTATCTATCTATCTATCTATTTATTCTGTGGTGCTGGAGATTGAACCCAGGGCCTTGTGCATGCAAGGCAAGCACTCTACCAATTGAGCTATATCCCCAGCCCTAAAAATGTTTTTAATGAGATAATATAAGAACTTCTCAAGGAGTAAGAAAGAAAAAGTTTAGGTTTCAGGTTAATGCACTGATAACACTAAGATACTATTATACTTGATTTAAGTTTATTTTTATTATTTCATTTATTTTAATGTGGCTCTGACTTGTTTTCATATACAGAAGTTCTCTCGATATAAAATGGTTCACTAACAAGTGATGACAAATATACTTAATGAAACATTAAACATGTAACTGCAATAATAATATGCTCTTTACTCAAAAAAAAAAAAAAAAAGCATAACATATCCACAGTGAAACATTAACAAGAATACACCACTGTTCAAGAACAATTAACCTTTAGGATGAGTTAGCATTTCTGTTTCCAAAAGCCTAATGTCCCAAGATTCTTATCAGTATCTTTATACTAAAGTTTATTATATTTACTGACAAACAATTTCTAATGTCTGGACAGTATAACAAATATATTCATGTATTATTATTATTATTAATTTTTTTTTGGTACCAGGTATTGAACCCAGTGGCTCTTAATCACTGAGCCATATACCCAGCCCTTTTTATATTTTATTTAGAGACAGGGTCTTCCTAAATTGCTTAGGGCCTTGCTAAGTTGCTGGGATTGACTTTGAACTCACATTCCTCCTCCCTCCGACTTCCAAGCCACTGAGATTTCAGGAGCGGGCCACCATGCCCAGTTGGCGTTGTATTTTTTAAATAACAGTGAATACAAAAGAATTACCTCTAAAGACAGTCTTCTCTGTCCCTAAAGAATAGAAACATGTGCTATCAATTTTCGATCAAGTTTACTCGTTACTGAGTTGCTTAGGGCATAGGCTACTTTCAACAAGCAAATGCTAAACTCATTATTCTAAAGGAGAGCTATGCAGACACAGTGAGGAGGAATACACAATGTAGCCCTTTAAGGCCAGGTTTGGACTTGCTTGAATAGGCACAGAATTTCATCCAAATGGAACTCCAGAGATGGATACATGCAAGAGCACAACTTGGCCTCAGCACATCAGGGTCCTTAACTTGATACTTTCACTGGCTATTCACAAATTACGGCTTTTGTCCATTTAAAATATTTAGAAGCAACAACAAAAAAAAAATATTGCTTTAGGAAAATAAGGCATAATTGGAGGGAAATTTTGGGCATTTTTATAGTCCCTTGACCAGGGGAAAAAAAATTCTTAAACTTTCTCTTTAATTCAAAATAGCCAATGAGAAGTAAGAAGCCAGGAATCACTTTCATTTCTCTGAAAAGAGCAATGACTTAAGAGATCAATGACCTGCGCCCACTGTTACAAGGATCTTCTAGGGAATCAGAAACTGAACTTTCAACATCAGTCTCATAGTCTAATACTTTCTCTACCACACTGTGCTTCATCTTCTCATCAACTGCTTTCCCTATGAATATATATTTTTATATATAGCATAAACACAATTGCTGTCACAAAACCCACAAATTATAGTTTTAATTAGTAAAACAAGTATATATATATGTTTTTATGAAACATTTATAAATCAAATGTATTAGATCTCCTCTTTCATTAATTCTATTGTATCTTCTTCCATCTTGTTGAAAACGTCTTAGAATTATGTCATAAATAAACCATTTATAATAGGAAGATAATGAACCAACATGCCTAAGCTTACCAAACTTCTTGCTTTCTTTAGTTGTGCCAGTCATCTTGATCTTTGCAACTTCAAAGAAATCTTTGATTTCTCTTTCATACAGTCGGGATAAATAATCCATGTAATTCTTAAAATAAATGTAAAATGTACTTCTTATTAATAAAACATACATAACAATTTCTACTTTTCAATCTCCACCCAATCCCTCATGTTTCTTATAAATTTTTTTTTTTTTGGTCAAAAACCTTGATGCATTTAATAGTATGTTAAAAAGTAGGCTACTTTCTTTCACACCTTTTTTTTTTTTTTTTTGAACTAGAGACTGAACTCAGGGGTGTTGTACCATTGAGCTATATTCCCAGTACTTTTTATTTTGAGATAGGGTCTCATTATGTGGCTGATGGCCTTACTAAAGTTGCTGAGGTTGGCCTTGAACTTGTGATCCTAAACTGAGGCTCCCAAGTCACTAGGATTACAGGTTTACACCATTGTACCTGGCACCGTTGCACACTTGAAATATTGTTACAATCATACCTGGCAGAATATTTGAATCAGGGAAATCATGTTTCTGCTGTCTCATGTTGTGATGATAGCACAGTACTTTACTTTGTTAGTCTAATACAGGACACTGAAGTGGTTTTGATGTTTTGCTACAACTGTGTTACAATTCATCTCTAATGAATTGTTTCCTTGGGACAATTTCCTAAGGTCCCTAGGGTCCAAAGAATATGATTCTTTATGATTCTTCCTCCACATTGCCATATTGTTTGACTGATACACAGTGCCCCTGGCAATGGGGAACATTTAGTTTCACTGAGTCCTTGTTGAACTTGGGGTTATGGCATACATAGATTATTTTCAGTAAGAATTTAGAACAACTCATTTTCATAATTAATGTGTTTTCTTGAAATGGATTTGGTTAACTGTTCCTTACATGAAAACATCCATTATTTAGCATGCAAACTAATTTTTTTATCATCTCTGCTTATTGTCACATAAAAACACTTATGCCCTCAGGAAGGACTCTTCAACAGTAGGAGGCCAGACATTTTTCCAAGTCCCAAGTTTAATGCCATTATATCATAGAGTTTGACTAAATTTAAACAAATAAAGAGAAAAATTGTTCCTAGCAATTTTTTAAAATTTATCAAGGAATCTAAGCTTCAACTTCCTTTATTTTCTCAAATTAATATATCATTCTTTAGAACAGGTTTATGTTCCTGCTTTAAAGATCAGGTATAACTTTCCAGAACTTACAAACTATGTAAACATTTGTATATTTTACTCAGAATTCACTTTATTATTTATCTATCTATTTATTTAGTTATTAAAGTTGTAGATGGACATAATGCCTTTATTTTGTTATTTTCATGTGGTGCTGAGGATCAAACCCAGTGCCTCACACACGCTAGGCAAGCACTCCACCACTAAGCCATAACAGCAGCCCCATGGCTATAATTCTTATACATGAAGAATCTGGACTTGACTTTTCATAGCCTTCCAAAAAGGGGGAGTTGTGTACACCAAACAAGTGGAAATAGTTATCAGGATTTAATTAGGTATTATTTCTTAGAAAAGAAACACTTATTTGTCTGTTTCCTTCTTTCTTTTCTTCTTTTATTCCTTTGTTTCTTCTTCCTTTAAACAAAATTTCTGGTTTTGATAATATTTCAGCAACCCAACTTGATTATGAAGGAAAAAACCCATAATCTTCCAAAAGCTCAAACCACAGGGTTAAGTAAGATTCCTGGGAAAGAAGTCAATTTCACTTAAAAAGCTCATTAATATTGTCACTCAAAAATATCCTCGGATCAGAGAATAATTCCATAAATCATCACTAGGTAGGCTCTAGTCTTGTTTACTTTAAATTACATTCATCAATACTGCATTATATATAAAGATAGGACAATAATACTCACTGAGAACACAATTAGGCAAAAAGCTTATTGATTATTTTACTTATTTGAACATTCACTAGGGGACAAATCACTTGTTGGCACAAAACTCTTAAGGAGATATAATTTGTGTTTAATTATTCAAAATACTAATTCTCCTAAAACTTCAAAAGGCAAAGAATTCCAGTACTGTAAATATTTTCCTTAAGATATGTCCAAATCAGAATTCTGTTGAATGAAAACAAAACAGAACAAAACAAAATATAACACAACAGTAAAGTTGTATAATACTTAATAGGCTATTTTTTTTTTTTTTTTTGCTATTTTTAAATTTGTTCTAATTATACACAACAGCAGAATGTATTTCAACTCACTGTACACAAATGGAGCACTACTTTTCATTTCTCTGGTTGTACACGATGCAGTCACACCATTTGTACAATCACACATATACCCAGGGTAATGTTAGTCTCATTCCACCATCTTTCCCACCCTGATCTCACTTAAAATAGCTAGCTAGATAAGATATAAACAAAAACCTTAGGAGATGAAAGTTCTTTTTGAAAAGCATTTTTTTAAATATTTATTTTTTAGTTTTAGGTGGATACAATATCTTTATTTTATTTTTATGTGGTGCTAAGGATTTAACCCAGTGCCTCATGCATATTAGGCAAGCACTCTACTACTAAGCTACAACCCCAGGCCCTGAAAAGCATTTTTTTAATTATAATTTAAAAGATTATTTTACAAGATTATACTTTAAACGGACAAAGGTATTTTAAAGGATGACATATATGTGTGTACGTATGTATATGTCTGTGTGTATATATACATATACATACATACATACAAAACACTCTTTCTATAAAGAATGTTCTACTATCAAATATGTTGACATCAATGCATTGATATGAAAATATAGTCTTGCCTCTTTCTTTGCATCATACTTCTCATAAATCTCTATCTAACCCTCTGCCTTCTCCTGAAGTATGAATCTAAGATATTAGATAGGAATTATTTTTATATCACAATTTCAATATTCTCAATACACAAAGACAAAACAGCACTATTCAAATCCAGGACATCTTTTAGGGTCATATTGTTCACACAATCATTAATACAGCTTATGAGCTTAGATTTTATATTTTAAAACTCTAGTTCACAAAAAAAATTTTTTTACATATTTCTAAGATTTTTTTTTTTAATTAAACTGTTCTTTCAACCAGAACTATCCAGAATACCATTCACTATTCATTTATCTGAGTTGTATAGGGGGCAATTCTTTAACTCTATTTTTTAAGAAAAGGGGCAAGATATCCAATTTTAAACTAAAGATTATAGCATAAATGCCAGGAAGTATAGTCCCTATGGCTTTCTGCTACAATGGCCATTACTAATCTAAGTCAGATGATATTGTTCAGCAGATCAAAATCCACTGACCCCCACCCTGTCCAATGTCACACCCAGTGAAAGCCAAACCCTTTCAGTGATCTAGTCCCCTTTCAGATTTGCCCAGCTCCCACCTAGGGATCCATCCCCTTACCCACCATGTTCCTTCTCAACACAGCAGGCCTACTATGCCCCAGGGTAATGCAGCATGTCTGGAAAGCTTCCGGCCAGAGTCCCCATTGCTCACCCCACCCCTGCTTATTTTGTAATTTGTGCTCAAATGTCACTTCTTCATGATGCTTCACTGACTACCCTATTTGACACTGGATCCTTCCCCAAGTCATGACATTCGATTTTAGTTTCTCCACAGCATTTAAGCAGTACCTTCTAACATACAGTATAATTAACTTCTCTAGAATGTACACTGGGAGAAGGTGAACATGTGCCTGTGTCCATCAACCTGACATCTATGTAAGCACATACTAGGTAACTCCATCAATTTACTGAGTGAATATATGAATGGATGACTCTGTTCTTCCCCAAATGCTAATTTTAGTCACTGATATATACTACTGTCCTAACCTCTAATCCTGTGAAGATTGGTATCATCCTGCTGCTTGTGCCTTTGGAATCTCTCTTTAATATTCTCTTTTTATTCCTGCAATCATCTTCCTGGTTCAAGACCTCATTTCATCTGAATATTACATTAGGTTCTTAATTATTTTTCTCCATGCTTGAGGAATGCCATTAGATACTCTAAGTCCCATATTTTCAACATAAGTTCTCACAGCAGAATATGAAATTTCTGCTTTAGTCATGATAAACCTCCTCACTGTCCTACACAGGCACATTTCCTCCATCTTTGCACATTTTGCTCTCACATCTCCTAGATGCCCTTCCTTTTATGTCTTGTTTATTTAATTCCACTAATTATTTAAAACTCAATTGAAGTCTATTATTTTCTATGAAGTTTTCCTACAGCTTTAGTACACAGATTTCCTTCTTTAAATTACTATATATTTAAACTCAATTCAGTCTAACACTTAATTTTTTGCTGACTGTTTTAGGTATGATTTTTTCCAGTCACATTTAAAGCTTCTTAGAGGGGGAGGCTTGCTTGTTAGGCCCCAGGTGCCTGGCAGAGTGGAATGCTTGCTTAATAAAGAGGCACCTTGTACTTCTTACCAGAATATTTTTAAGAGGCAAGTAACTCACCCATCTTCGCATATTTATAAATAAATTTCAGAAAGGAGTTTATTTCTTTCATGAAGAAATTAAATTACAGCATTTAACTAAACTGAATGATGCTTTAGGCTACCATGTGCCTTACTACTATTTTATAATAAAGTTTGAAAAGGAGCTCTTCTTTATCCAAGTAAATAAAATTACTGTTATCTCTGGTTAATGAGCACTCAACAATTCAATTATTTTCTGCTTTTTTTTTTTTTTTTGGTATCAGGGATTGAACCCAGAGATTGAGCCACATCTCAGCACTTCTTAAATATTTTATTTACAGACAGGGTCTCACTGAGTTGCTAAGTGCCTTCCTAAGTTGCTAAGTTGAACTCATAATCCTCCTGTCTCAGTCTCCCAAGCTGCTGAGATTACAGGTGTGTGACACTGTGCCTGTCTATTTTCTTCTTTGCTAAGAACATACTTTAGTATTTCAAACTTGGGGAACTAAACATATAACATTTTGATTCTAAAAAATTACATTCTATACTCAGTGAGTAACTGACATAAAATTCGTACCTTAGTTAGTCCCTCGTATTTTCCATAATCTGTACTCTTTAGCCACTCCATCAGCTTGGCATATCGAAGCAAGTCTCTATGAAATGGATGATGATTGGGTAAAGTCAGTTCAATAGAGTGCTGAGCAAGAGTTGAACTCTGATCATGACCCTGGCATGAACAAATAAAAATAAACATCAGTGACAGTTCAGAGAAACATTGCTAAAACTGAAAATTCTGAACAATGACCAAATGTGGCCAAGTAAAACAAATAGATCACAGAAAAACAGAAACCAAGTACTTACTCGTCTACTTTTATCATCCTGTGTTCATCAACTGAACATCACCAACATAAAATAATGATAAACATGCAAAAATGTTACTGACAAACAAACCATTCATTCCATTTTTTAAAGAAGTTGAGAATGAATTAATTTTAATCAAGCTGTCTCTCTCACACTGTATGTTTACTAAGCAAATTAACTTCTTCATATAGACTGCATTAAGTAAATCACCAAGTAGGGAAGTTGGACAAAAAAGTAAAAAACCAAACAAGCAAACAAACAAAAACCCTGAACTGTCCACACTTATCTCATTCCTATTAGAGTCCATAATATTTAAAACAATAGATAAAAACAAACAAGATGCAGAATTATATAATTCTTAATAACAATGGCAGAAAAGCATCACAAAACTGGATGAATCAATTGAAAAGGGCAACAGAAGTTCACAGTTTTCAAAGATGTTATATATAAGGTATATTATATACATCCACAATCCCTTTCTATAATTCTAAAATCCAACATAATATACAGTATGTTACCATATCACTTTTTACAAAATCTGAAAAATTCTAAAAACTGATTCCAAAAGGTTTGCATAAGGAAAAATAAACCTGTATGGATACTCTTTTCTGGATGGCTAAAATAATAACATCTTCCAACAGATCACTTATGTCTAAGAGCTATAAGCTGAAAATGGCATAATTCTCTAAATTTGGAATATCTGAACACCTACATCTTTTCTGTGAAGTAAAAGCTAACAATAAACAAAATTAATAAATAATATTCAGTTATTATCATTGGACTATACTTTTATCTCTATAGTTGCCAAACAAGGTCAGTATAAACATTGTTTTACAGAAAAGTTTTTTAAAAAATATATTTAGTTGTTAATGAACCTTTATTTAATCAATTTATTTATATGTGGTCCTGAGAATCGAACCCAGTGCCTCACACATGCCAAGCAAGTGCTCTCCACTGACCTTCAACTCTAGCCCTAAAGTTTTTTAATGGCTAATTCAAAAGGATGATCAAGATTCTACAGAATTTTTCTTAGTGACTCAAGGATCAAATTATTTATGTTCTTCTACAACTGTTTATTCAATCTATTAACATTAAATTATACTATTTGGAGTCATATCATTTTCTTTCCTGGAAATAGAAGAATTAATTAACATCTGAAAAGGATTTTACAGTTTACAAAGCTCTTTCACATATATTATTATTCCAAGTTTTCTCAGTATTTTCACATTATGATCATCTGAAAAATTCACTTCTAATATGAATTTAATTGCCTTCAAATCATTACTACTTAAATAGACTAGTGTTCACAAAAAAAGGATAGTTCCAAAATAACTATGGAAAATTAAAAAAAAAAAAATCTTAAATCATAACATATAGAAACTACACATGTAGAACTCTGATGTGTAAATAATTTTATTTTTTGTATATTTAAAAAGTTAAAGACATTCTTTAAATGTTCTTACTATAACTAATAATAAATTAGTAATAATTTATTGATTGCCCACTACCTTGCTAGGTTATCTATATGAAAACCTTGCAATGTATTTTTCTTCCCATTTATTTTTCTATTTCTATTTGATTTTATGTTTTGCAATTCTGGTAATTAGACCAAGGGCCTTATGTATGGTAGGCAAGAGTTCTACTACTGAGCTACCCCCACTGCCCTATCCTTATTAAAAACTGCTAAAACTCTTTTATATATCATATTTTAAAACTAATCTAAGCCATACATTTTAATAAAAACTCTGTGAATTATAAATTTTCAGTAGTATACATATTACTAAAATTTGTCATTGAACACGTTACTATAGCCAAGCACCATTCTAAGTGTTGAACATAATAAACATATGCATCCTTATAATACCTAATGAGACAGAAAATACTCATAACCATCACTAACATAAGACAATGAAAGCAGCACAAAGAGCTTAACTTGTTCCAGACTCACTTAGCTGTGAGGTAGTGGTGTCATGATTTGGAACCCAGGAAGTCTGGCTCTAATGACTGTACCCTTACGTACTTTGCTGTATTTACTTCCTATTGAATGATAAATTCAAATCAAATTTTAAGTAAATTTTCAAGATTTGGGAACTTTTTTGTTTGTTTGACATGTTTATTTTTATTTTCTTCCTTACTTCATTTCTGGGGATTGAACCCAGGGGTGCTCTACTACTGAGCTACATCCCCAGTCTTTTTTATTTTTAAAAATTTTGATATAGGGTTTTACTAAGTTGCCCATGCTGACTTGAACTTGTGATGATTCTGCTTCAGCCTTCTGAGCAGCTCAATCATAATTCTTTCTAAGCTTTGAACTTAAGATCATCAGTTGGTGTTTTGAAAAATGTGCTTAATGAACAGCTGGGTGTGGTGGCCCATAGCTGTAATCCCAGCGTATTGGGAAGCTAAGACAGGAAGATCACAAGTTCAAAGCCAGCCTCAGCAATGGCGAGGCACTAAGCAACTCAAAACAAATACAAAATAGGGCTGGGGATGTGGCTCAGGGGTCAAGTGCCTCTGAGTTCAATCCCTGGTCCCCGCCCCGAAAAAAGAAAGGAAAAATATGTGCTTAATAAAACAATTTTTATGAAATCTGATTGAATATTGGTGATCTATAACACATCTATAAAACACGAGGCAAGCACTTTATCAACTGATCTATATCCCCATCCCTATTACACATTTTTCTAAAAAAAAAAAAAAAAAGTTTCTATAAATAGACATTGAAAGAAAAAATTTCAAACTTAAGTAAATAGCAAAAAATTACAACATCAATTTTTTTCTTCGTTGTTCTTTTAGTTCAGTGTATTTTAGTTAACTTTCATTTCTTCTAAGGTATCTGCATAATCAGTCTCATCATGTTGCTAAAGGCAAAGACATAGAATCATAAGGTCTCTGAAAACCAAGCATGTATGTGTGTGAGTGGGAGTAGAACAGTTATGCTTTCAAATCTTTCAAAATCCATCCCAAGGATTTTCAAAAAGACATATTCTCCTGAATTTCATTAGCCTTAATTTCACTGCCGGCTTTTAGAAATATAATTTCTGTAACTGGTCTAATTCACCTTTCTAAATACTCAGATCTCTAGTATGCATAACAATTATGGGTAAGAGTCTGTAATTTTAATGGAAGCTGAGTTCATAATATTTAAAACATGTTAAAGAAGCTAGACATCTGTTGAAAACATTACTCATAGTAGGAAGTGAACATGACATAAAGATGCCTTTCAAGTTTCATTAGAGTGTAGTTTTGTGAGAGTATTAATAGGAAAGCTGTATCACAAACAGCATGCTCTGGATCAGTGATTCCCAAATGCAAGATGTTTTTATTAGCCTAAAGAAATAAGAAAAAAATAAAATGACATGAATGAGTTGGTAAATGTGTAAAAAAAAATTTTTTAACACAATACCTTTATTTTACTTATTTATTTTCATATGGTGCTGAGGATCGAACCCAGGGCCTCAAACGTGCTAGGTAAGCATTCTACCCCTAAGCCACAACCCCAGCCCAAATGTGTTAAAATTTTAAAGTCTGAAATTAAGTTCTTTCTATTCTTTTGGTGCCAAAATATCATTTTAAAAATAAGGTGAGTCAAAGTAAGTGGCAGTAATTTATTTTTTTAAAGATCTTTACTAAATAAAATAAAAAACTGGTGACTTGGCCAGTCTCTAAATTTTATTTAATTTTACTGAATTATGAATTTTAAAAAGACCAGGAACCAAAGCCCTGACATAACTGTTGTGATCAACAGATTATTTCCACTGGATTCTTCTGTATATTTATATTTATAAATATTATAATTATACATTTACTATGAATCCATTGCATGGATTCTGTTCAATTCCTACCTTATCTGTGATTCCATATTGAACTCCTTAAATCCTCCATAAACTTCACTTTTGATTAAGCCTCTTTAGCACTTACAACCCACAGTTCTAGCCTTATGTACATCAGTCTTAATTTCTTATAAGCATCTTGAGGGCAGGAGCAATTACTTCTTCTGACACGTGAGTAGCAGCGAGTACACCATAGACTTACAATGAAAATTTGGTGATTGACAAAGAGATATACCATAATATGTTAACCAAGTTTTCACAGCTAGTTTGTCCCCCAATCAGGAATAAAAATTCACATATCATCAAAAACTAGCTAGGTGACCTGGTACGCTGAATTCAATGAATAGAAAAATCTCTTGCACTTGAGACATCTTCTTCCACCTTCCACCTTGCACATCCCAGGTTGTTGCAACATTCTGGTATTTAACATGCAACACTTACATATAACAATACATATTAGGTTTTCAGAAATAGAAAGCATTCAATATAAACAAAGCTATTAGTTTACAAGGCAAAGAAGCAAGATCACAAATAAATGCATGTTATAACAAATAGTTAAGGATATAAAAAGGACTATAGTTTGTTGACTATAGATGTATTTTTGGTATCATCTACAAACATGAATAACATCATTGTCAACACTATCATTTTTTAAAACTAAGGAATCATGAAAATAGATGCTACTGGAATAATAAGAAAAATGTGAATTAGTATTTCCTATGTGGCTTTTAAGTTTATTTTCTTCCTGACACTTTTCAGGTCAAATGAAATGTTGAGGGAGTCTGCTCTGATTTCCCCTTCTATGCTTGGTTAGGTGGTCCTCTGTATGCTCTCAGCACCACCATTACAGAATCTATCCTTCCTGCTTCCTTTCCTGAGACTGTGAGCTACACGAGGATGGTAGGATGAGTCTTTCGTCTAATCCAAGACAGTGTCTGGTATGCATCTCAACCATCTGACAAATAACTACTACGTAAATGAAGGAGGTAGTGAGTGGGTGAAAGAATAACAAGAAGATAGGGAAGCAGAACAGATTAAATGCTTTTTTTGGCCAAAATAAACTCTGCTATATAACATTTAAAAACTTACAACTATAGTTAATGGGTAGCTTAAATCAGTAAGGTAAGTTATAAGCTACAAAGATGCTAAGTTTAGTAAACTTCATATATTTATAAAAATAAAAAAATCAGAGAAGCTTGAGCCAAATTTGATGTACTCACAGGAACCGAAAGAAAGTAGGACCTGTTATAGAGTTGAAGGAGGGCCTGAGTAAACTAATTGGAAATAAAATATAGTAAAGACAATTGTTTTAGAATATTGCAAAGTGGAAAAAAAGTCAAAATCTAATGATTTCAAACAGTCTTTCTTTTCTGGGGCTGAGTATAGACTCTAGGACCTTATGCATGCTAGGCAAGTACTCTACCACTGAGCTATAACCTCAGCCCCAGATGGCATTTCTCAATGAGTAAGGTTACCTTCTAACTTTTTCTACTCAATAACCCTAACAAAGTAAAAGGAATAAGAGACAAAAAAAAAAAAAATCATCTACTTTATTACACCAGATATTAAAATGGCTTTTATTCAAACCCCTTTAAGGTACTCTTAATATTATCAATATATCATTGCCATATCCTTAATTATAACATCCCTTTTCATATAACAAGCCTATCATTTATATAAAGATTAAATCAACTGAAATTTACATTTGAGACAGTCTTTTTTTTTTTCTTTTTAAATATGTGTACTATAGAACCTATGAAGAAACAGTTAAAATACTAAATCAAGTTGTGTTCCTCATCTCAAAACACTTAAAAATAAAACAGGTCCAATAGTCAACACATAACAACTTTAAATTTTTATAAGAAAGAATGCCTAAATGGTATATGCAATTAATAAACATAGTTATTTATCTGATTTCTAGAATCAGAGAGCTCCAGCTGAAAGGAACTAGATAATTTACGTAAAAGGGGCAACTGAAGCCCAAAGTACCTCTGTGAGAAAATATGTACATATTTCAAAAATCAAATAAATGTACAAAGGAATATACTATAACATCAACCGAACACATCAAAAACTTTTTTTGTGGGAATTTAAGTTTAAGGTAATATAAGTAAACTATAGAAACATGTCAATTTTAATAATAAATTAAAATTACCTGTTGAACAAAAACATTGTTGAGGTGACTGGCCAGTCTCCGGGCAAAATACTCTCGCAAATCACTGAAATGCTGCTGCTGCTGTTTGACTGCCAGAAGCATGTCATGGCCTGAAATCAGAATAGCATTTCTTGACTGATTCAATAAGGACAAAAATATTTCCTCAGTTTAATGAAAACATTTCTAACAGTAGTCACATTTAAGTTTTGAAGAATCCAAAGTTTTACTAGCTTATTTATTTGCTTTATAAAAGGTAAGCAGGATTAAAAATAGCATAGCACAGTGGTCCTGCTTCAAATATGGTTTCTAGGACTTCAGCCCAGATCTACTGAATCTGGGAGTGGGGCCTGTCCATCTATCTTAACAAGCCCTCTAGGTGACTCTGATGGATATTCAAGTTTTAGAAGAAGAGCCTAGAAAAATTTTATGTTCTCTGGTATAATCAAAGCATCTATGTTGTGCTGTGGACAGTACTAAAGAAAGATCATGATGTTAACTAGCATCAATGGCGGTCAATAAGAAGGAATTGAAATGAAAAAGTTCCTATGGTCAATAGAAATACCTGGGGACGTAAGTGAAACTTGTCTGAATAGCTAATATGTAAGCCTGAACTATTTGCCTATGTAATATCTTGTCAAAATCTTTATATGAAGCTACCATCTTAGACTCAATTTTTAGTCAGATTTTATCCTCTCTAGTGAACAAACCTGGTCGAAGAGCTACATTCATACATTGCAGAAGGGCATCAGCAGCATTGGTGCAGGCCTCAATGCCTCTGGAAGAAGCAAGATCCCCTTCCTGAAGAGCCTTTATATGACCTTTGGCCAAGTCCATATGGTTCTGAAATACATGCAAACATACCCCTTACACATAATTTTAGGAAATTTATAGGCAAGATGCTACTCAATCCTATTACTAGGTCTTTGGAATTCTTTTAAATCCTGCTATCATAAGGAAATTAGAAAATGTTTACAGATGGATTTTAGATACTGTCACTAGTCTTTGTTTTTATTTTTATTGGTAATTTATAACAACACCTACCACAAGAAACTCTATCTCTAATAGGAGTTTCACATTATTAGTGTTACTAAGATGAATTAGGTGATTGCTTTCAGAGATCTGATCCATTTGTTCTTTTACACTTTGGAGCATTTCCTCGTAACTGCTCAGTTTCAATTCAATCTGATCCACTTCCTTTAGAGCTTCATCTAACAACTTCATTAGGATGTTCACTTGTTTCTCAGAGGCCATGATGGACTGGATATTGGCCTACAAAGTGAAAGACAAAAGTAAAAGTTCATGTTACTCAAATGTATAAAAGAAATATAATATTGTTAAATCTTTTTGAAAGTAGAATAACAAAAATTGCTATACATCTACCCTAGTTTATCACTTTATGTTTTACTTTTTATACAAACAGTCCATGTAGGTATACCTGACATCATGCCTCTATATTCTGTATTTCCAGAGAGTGAACAGGAAGAGTTTGTGTCATCAGTAAAGGCACATCCTCTTTTCTGTAAATTTAATGCCATTATGATATGTCATCTTTAACATTTCTTTCACCAGCTACAGAAATGTTCTATACTTCTTAAGATCTATGTATAGCCCTAAATAAGACCAAAATCACCTAAATAATATCTTAGATGAGAGGGGCGTAATGTCACACCAGTCTTTGAAGGATACGGGGAACTAACTTATAGCTGCAGGATGACTAGTCCTCACAGGATATGGAAGAGTATATGGAAAAAAGCTAGCTTCTCCTATCATTTTTTTTTCTTTTCTCTTGCAACTATATTCCATCAAGCAAAGCAGTTATAAAACCACTATCCCCTTATCACTGTTTTCTAAATGTTCTGCCTATTGATTCTAAATTCTCTAAAGTAAGGAAGCTGCCAAATTTAAAATTAAGCTGCTAATATGACTTAGAACATATATCCAATAAAAATTAGAAAATATAAATCACTAAACCATAGTAAGGCAAGTAACATGGTATGATGAAAACCTAGACAAGGAAATAAAAGAAAAATCATATAGTCAATGCTATGATTTCATACATTTTATTTTATATACTGTTCACAATAACTCAACTGTAAGTACAGCCCCACAAGTACAACCACAGTCAGTGTGGCTCAGAACACACTGATGTCTTTCAGAGCCAGGGTTTGATTCATCCTAGGACCAATTCCACTTTAATATCTTGAAATCTCTTCTAGGTTTTGCTTCCAGTGAGTTTTGCAAACTAGTGAGCCTGGACTGTTTGGTTATTTCTCTGGATCTGAGTTAGATCCCATGATTTCTATACCTTTCATGTATAAAGAATTCAAACTTTTTAAGTCTTTAAAATAGTTCTTATTCCCTCAGAAATTTCTTAATGGTGTAATTTTTCTTAAAAATAAAACAAAACAAAAAGCCCCCACATGATTTGTTTTATTCTGACATATGTGGTGCTTTGCATTTAGATTACAAACTCAAAAAATGGTGCTTATAAAAGATTCTATTTTAAAACATTTTAGTGGACAAGCCCATGATCAGATTTCCTAGCTATCTTATTTCCTCCACACTTATTCTGTTCCCTTTTGGTAAATGATTCACTTATTTCAGCCGCATTTCTCTTACTTTAATTTGCACTTATGTTTTTCCCCAAACCACAAAAATGCTGTTCTTCACTAGTGAACTATTCTGAGGTGTTTCAGAGGCTGGGGGAAACAACCTCTAAGATGGTTTCTGGTTGTCTACCTTCTTCTTCCCTTTTTTCATATCAAAATTCAGAACCTCAGCTACTGCCTTCATTGGCTTATTAGGAATGGTTCTATCTTTTGAACAAGAACAGTGAAAGACTGACAGCAACTTGTATTGTGCTTATAGAGAAGGACAGCAATAATCACTCTGGAAAAGCTGAAGTGCTAAGGCAGTAAAATATGAACATCACCAGTCTTCTCAATGTACGACACATCACTTATTCATAGATTACAAGAAAGTCTTACCCCATCTAGCACCTGTAGCTCTCGAGACAACTTTTCTGCAAAGGCCTCAGCATTAGAGATTGCATACTCACAGCCTTCCATCATTATTTCAATATCTTGCTCTTCTCTTGCATTTAATTCTTGGTACTCATCTACTGCTTCTTCATCTCCTCCTGTCACACTCTGATTTTCTCCACTTGGAACAGATTCTTAAAGAAGGCAAATATTCAAAATAAAGTAGTAAAAAACTAGGAAGGATTAAATATGGTACTTATAGCTAGCTATGATCAGTTATAAGCACAGGTCACATTTAGTGGCTGAAAAACAGGAAAGAATGATTCAAAATATATGAAAAAAAAACCCTAAAACTTTGCTTTTATATAGGAATACATATGTTAATGAAATAAAGTCCTAAAAAATAACAAATAAAAAGCATGCAGTCTAATACACTGACCTATAAGTGTTAAAATAGCTTTAGTTATAAATTCCCCAAACACAAACTAAAATACAAACAAAACACAAAAACATGAAGAAATGCACCTAATCTTTTTTCCTACCTGAGGTGGATGGTGCTCTAACAAAACAATGATTATGAATTCAGTACACATGAAAACAATTTGTTTTCCTTTTTTCACCAAGTAACATTTTCTTTTGTTTTTGTTCATCTTTGTTATATGTGTATGTGTGTGCGTGTGTGTATTTTTTCTTTCAAACAACTTAACTGAGATGAAACATGCCTCTATAATAATTTATTCTGAATACTGAATATATTAACTAAATTTCTATATTTTTGCTTAAAAATTTCACATGTATTAACAAAATAGCTAAAGATGAGCTATAGAAACTTTCTTGGTGACTCTAATGTAATAGGTAAGAATAGCACAGTGGTTTGAAATTACAAAAAATGTAAAAGATCTTCATGCTTCATAACAAAAGACCAAGAGGTAAAATCTGAAGTGCTTTTTGAATAAATGTTTCAGTCCATTTTTTTTCAAAGAACACACTTAGCATATGGATATTTTATATAAAACTTGAGGTTAGGAGATAAAATGAAGAAATCATTTTTAACCCTATGAGGTTATTTTTACAACTTTAAATAAAATTACTGATTTTCTAGGCTTAATGGAATATGACTTAAATCAAACTCTGTATGTTTTTAGTCTTCATTATTTAACGTGAAAAAAGTGTTTACATTCAGCATGACTTGACATATATTATTGTCCCAAAATAAAACCCAGCTAATTTAAAACAAAAAGGATTTACTCTGAAGAATGGTAACAAATTGCCCAGATTTAGTTACAATCTCAGAAAAAAAAAATAGGACCAAATGTTTTGTACAAGCAATTATAATGACTATAATATTACAGCATATACATATGAGAGGCATCAACAAGTTCCCTATCCTTTCTATGAGGTCATTTTAGTTCACTGTAGAAATGTTAACACTGTCAGGTATGAATGCTTGTTAGCCACTAGAGGGCAGGGATTGCTCAAATCCTTCTGTGCAGTTCCTTACACAAGCACATGTTTCAAGTAAACAAATATTTTAAATTATTATGATAAAGGTTTCAGAAGTATTTTTCTCCCCTGAAACAGTTCTTTGGAGGCCAATAATGAATACCACTATTAATTTTATTACTATATGGATTTTGTAATAAATTCACCCTATTATACAACTTCATAAAATATGCAACTGACAATACATAACAATGGCAAGTAATTAAAACATATGAAATAGAATAAGAAGAAAGGTGTTACGCACCTTCTGTAACTTTAGGCAGTTCTGGAGAATAAAAAGGTATGAAAGAAGCAGAAGAAAGTAAGCAAAGAGTATTAGCTGGGTAGAAAGTATACAAGCTTAAAATTGTAAAATACTACCCAAATTTCATTTGAATTTCTAGTTAAATTAAGGTTCAAAGACAATATTAAAATTAACTACAAAGTGGAAAATTTCCATAAGCAGCTAAATTTCCAAGATTCATTTTTCTTATTCATTTTGGGACAATGATTAAAAATGTATTTATCTTTCTATTTCCTTTTAGTCTTTTAAGAAACAGTACTAACTAGACCTTAAAGGAGAAAACTGGGAAACAGAACATTTCCTGGGGATTATTTTTAGGTCAGTTATGACTCACGCATTTAGTGTAGTTATTTTCACTCAAGGCCCAAGGCTTTACCCAGACACTCCCTCAAAAAGGATTAGTCACAAAACACTGTTAGGAGAGACAAGACTGAGGCAAGTGCAAAAACATGAGATATCAGTTCAAGCTGACATTTAAGGATTCGAGTCAAAGATTATTTCAAAATCTGGCTGCAAGGAAAATACTGAAAAAAGAAAACGCCAAACAAACTTCACTCTACTTCAACCACTAAGAAATTCCCCTTTTTAAAAGAACCTTACTTTGACTTAAACATTTAACTGTTACTGATAAAAACTACCAAGTTACCACCACTAGTATTAACAATTACAACAGTCTTACTTATTTAGTTTGTCAAAGGAGGTAGTAATAATTTTTTATTTGTCTTCTAACCTTTCCCAAACCATAAAGACACTTTTATAAAATGGGAACTGGGCTGGGGATATAGTCCTTGCCTATCATGAGTGAGGCCCTTGATTTGACCCTCAAAATCACCAAAAAAATGAATAAAATTTTAAAATAATAAATTAAAATGAGAATTAATGGCTAAGATTTCAAAGTCCATTAAGTCAGGTTTTTAGTCATTAATAAAGCTATTCTCTGAACACTAAACCAAAGCAACCATTATTAATCATAGTGAGATCCTAAAGGATCTTCTCAGTATCTTAAAAACTGACCTCAATTAGAGTTAATGTTTGTAAACACAAAAATGTCTACACTTTTGTTTTATGCCCGAAAGTTTAAATACCTTTTTTTTTTTCCTCTGTAAGTTAGAAATTTGATTCTCAAAAACAGTAATACTCTTCTCATTGCTTTTGGTAGTATTTCTTAATGAGTTAAATCAGCACAATATGTGTTTTTCCACCTGGTTGTCTTAATGAAATATATGGGTTTAAAATATATAGCAGGCAACAAACTTGAAAATAGAAATCAAGCTTGTCAATGAATAATTGACTCAGAACAATGTTTAATCCTGAAATGGGAAAAAATAAATAAATAAAAGCCATTTGAAGTAAATTAATGTCCAATTTAAGGTATAAAAAATTATCATAAATTTCTGGAAGGTCATTTTCTTAATACGTGCAACTGCCAAGACACTGGGGTCTAATACTGGTGAGATAGTAACCTCGGGGAATCCTACTGAAGGCCAGCTCCTCTGGGAAAAGCAGCTATAGGGTCTGACAGATGACACTTGCCTCTGCCAGTTCTAAGCATCTGCCTAAACCAGCAGCAGTTCACTAATTAAATGCTGGGAAAGAATACTACAGTAAAGAAGGGAAAGGTCATCAAACAGAATTAAAAAAAAAAAAAAAAAAAAAAGAAGTAAAACAAAACCAAAGTGACAGAGACAAATGACTAAATACAGGAAGAGTTTTTTTTACACTACATAGTAAAATTGTTCAATATTGGTAATTTCAGATGTTTCAACCTTTCTGAAAGAAAAGAAACTTCTACTGTTAAATATTAACTTGCAATTTGGGACAAATCTCATTTTTCCTTCTAATACATAACTTAGGACAAATCTTTTTTTCCCCTCAATAAAGAGGAGCAACAACTCTATTTTCTTGCATAGTAATTATTATTTCAACTGTTTTCTTTGAGATAAAGAATACAATATTTGGGCTGGGGATGTGGCTCAAGTGGTAGCGCGCTCGCCTGGTATGCGTGCGGCCCGGGAACGATCCTCAGCACCACATACAAACAAAGATGTTGTGTCCACCGAAAACTAAAAAAAAAAAATATTAAAATTCTCTCTCTCTCTCTTAAAAATAAAAAAAGAATACAATATGAATTGCATCCACAAGGCCTTTAGAATCATTTTCTTATGTTTATGCCTTTATGAAAGAAAATTTCAAAGTATAAAATCTCACTGTACATTTTCAATTTTAACAGTAGTTTTTGTCCACCCTTCCTGAAGACAGACTGATCAAAAATAACCCAAATTAACTTCATATCTAAGGATTTTATGCTGATAATAGATTAATAGCTAATATTTGTTAAGCATTTACTATATATCTGGCACTGTTCTCCTAATGTTTATGATTTAAGAAATTTTATCCTAGCAGTATCTCTATTTCTATTATAAGAGACACTGAAACAAGAGATTAAGTAACTATAAAGTCATATAGTAGGTAGTAAAGCCAGAATTTGAACCCAGGCAGTATGACTCCACAGTTGAATTCTTAACTACTACACCTATACTCTGTACAAAAATAATGCCACAAGAATATTTATCCTGGAACTGCTTAAAAAAGTAAAAAAATGGAAAACTAAAAATAAATGATTAGTTAAAATATTATGGTATATTCATAGAACACTATTAAAAATGATGGCGTAAATATTTAATAATGTAAAAAATGTTCATGATACATTATTATATGAAAAAATTAGAAAACAATGTAAATTTATTTTTAAAAAATTATTTATATATGCATACATAAAAGACCAGAATAATATCTACCAAAATGTTAACAGTAATTATCTCTGAGGAGTAAGTTTACAAGTGATTTTTATTATTTTAATTTAATGTATCAATATCCTACAATGAATAAGCACCATTTCTTCAATAAGAAGTTATTCTAAAATTCCTTTAAAAGGTAATTCAGTATTCTAATTGCTTTGAGTAATATAAAATTATATAGTCAATTAAAGATACACTTGAATTTATACATACATTCTTATTTAACTTTACCTTCCAAAAGCTGTGAGCTAACATTGACAAAATCGATTTTCTTCCGGAGATATCGCTGATTCAATTTCCAAATGCATGAGATAAATGCATTCTTTTCAGCAGTGCTGCTGGCAACCCATTTATATACTTTTTCAAAATGTAAATCAAATTCAGGATTTTCCTGAAATGAAAATATACAAAAAAGTAGTTTTTGATCAGATTCCTTTTCATTATTAATGTAAAATCTTTATTTTAAAAAAGAACTAAAGCTGTTCTTGGGGTGGAGAGACAACTCAGTGGCAGAACACTTGCTTAGTATGGGCAGAGCTCTGGATTCAATGCCTGGTACTTTAAAAACAAAACAGAACAACAACAAATTAGCTAAGTAATTTGAAGATAAGGCTTCCAAGAATTCAATTTATAGTAAAAACTTTATCACCCAAAAATGGCTAGATAAAAAACAAAACACACTGTTGGGGTCATTTTCTTTCTATGCCCTGCAGGTCTGTGAGTGGAAGTACAGGTTGTATACTTCAAGGCTTTGTGTTTCAGCTTCCTTGTCAATAAAATAACAATGGTCTCTAGTTTTGATGTGGATCTAATTTTTCTTTAAGAATTGCCATGAAATTTTAGAGTTACATCTTTGATAATGTATTATTATTCATAAGTGTAATTTAACACTAACTCCCTATTAAGGAATACATTTTCTAATTATAACACATGAGGAAGAAATACAATCTACACCCTGGTGTGCTTTTCAAGAACAAATGAGACGAACACAGAATGATCACTGGTGTCTCAAAACCCAAAAATGCTGGCAAGATTTAAGGTTTTTCAAGTGACAAAAACCCTCAACTAATCTGAGAAAACTGCATCATGCTTTCTACATGTCTATTAAGCCACATTTGAGCAATAATTTAATGTCAGGCTAATACTTCTTCCTTAATTGTAGAAGTACTTAACCATTAGATAATAACCAAAAATGTATGAGTGTACACTTTTCTTCACTTCCAAGGAATTAAATAAGTTCAAATGCTCTACAGGGTACATTGCATTTATTTAAAGCATAATGTAAGGGGAACTAAATGTGAATACAACACCTAAAAAGCAAGGAAACTTATATGAGAATTACTTTGAAGAGTTGGGTTATTTTAGGGATCAGGACATGACCTTTGGTACAACAATTTTAACAGTAATGTAGAACTTCTAATTAGCTCAACTTACAGCTTAAAAGAATTGAAGCATCAAAAAAATTAAAACCTTCCTTTATAGCTAATTACGTTATTACTTAAAAAAATTCTAAGTATTGGCAGCTAACATGAACTTGATGGGAAATGATCTCTTCCCTGGGAATACTTCCCATAATGCCATAAAAGAAGCTGAGTGCTCCAGTGGCAACATTCACACAAATCAATGTGTGATACTAAATGGCTAATGTTAGGCTATGTATAAAAATTTTATGTTTTCTATCCATATATAGTGTACATACACCAAGGTGTCTACATAAAATGAAAAAACATCCATTAAGCAGTCAGAAAAGAGGCATCAGCTTTAAGAAAGCATTCAAATAGGCACTCAGCAATGTTAGTGATTTATGCAAGTCAACAGGGTCATGAAGTGAAAAACTAGTGAAGAGAAAAAAGCTTTTTAATCAAGATGCATTTCTAATAAGCCCTTAAAATATTCTCTCTTAAACAGAAACCTACTCAAAAATCTCTTGATTCCTCCACATATTAACAAATTATTTACTGAAGTTGGTTAAAAATTTCATTTCTTGTTTTCTTTCTAAACATACAAAATTCTCTTTCTGTTAGAGCTTGTAAAACTGTTTCCACATTTCACATTTTTTCGAAAAACTGGGTACTCTTCAGGGATAAATAAGATTACTTAAAATACTTAAAAGGCATTATCTGTATTGGAAGCAGTCTGAATCTCACGGATAGGCAGGGCTCTCCTAAAATTGTTTTGCTTCCTTTTTCTTTTTTTTCATCTAACTCAACAACCTGTTGTTTCATTTAGCTCTTTGATCTTCAGAGATTTATGTCAAGGTAAGAGTAAAACCAGAATTTTATTTTACCAGAGTGCTTTTCAAAGGTCATTTTTAACTTCTTTTTGCCTTTTTAATAAATGTATGAGATATACAGAGTTAAATCAAAGAGTGCCTGAAGTTGCATTAGTATAAGCCTTGCTATTAATGCCATCGAGAGCACAAGTGGATGTGATCCAAAGTATTCTCTAGTGCTTTGGAGGTGTTTCTGATCTGCAGAAGAAGAGAAAGAGGAGGAGAAGGTGGAAGAGGAACAGGAGGAGGCCACACTTAATTGAATCAGAGGAGCTCTATAGTTTCTACTGTTTGTGCAAGGCTGTGAAAAGCCTTGAATTTCCAGGGACTACAAGAGGTTGTTTAATGTGACTATCACATTAAGTCACCAGATTTATATTCTTTTAAATCTTAATGTTTAAGTTCCTTACGATACACATAATCACTTCTTTTATTTGAACAAGAAACATCAAAGTCATGCCCTCCAACTTGGCTACTTGGCTGGTGATTCTACATGAACTCATGAGGACACACTTTGGTTATATCAGACTTGATTTGGAACTAGGTTTTTAAAAACAATGAAGATTAAAAAAAAAAAAAAGAACTCATATGACATACTGCTTTAAAACACATTCTAATTTACAGATTTTATACTTATCTAAAATAGAAATATATGGAGTCAAGGTTATTTTGCTCTAGTTTATGTATCTTATGCACAAACAAAATTTTCGTTCCAAAAAAGCAACAATAATAAAACAAACATACATGTTTCATTCCAAGTAGCCTCAGAGTGGGGGGGTAAGGAGGCAAAAGGCTGAACAATACATCTTAGACTATTTCTCAGGTGGTCACAAATCAGCAAGTTTAGATCATCTTTGTAGACATAATATTATAAAATTAAAGACACTTCTGAACACAGGTCAAAGAACAGAAAAACATACTTTGATAGCATCTTTGGCATCTACCACAGCAAGGTCTCGAAGAGCCCAAGCAATCTGCCTTTTGTAGAAATCTCCCTTATCAGATTTCTTGACTTTGACCACTTTTACCTGCACAGGGCGTTCAGTTGTCACTGTTGAGCAAAATACATACTTTTGTTAGAAATATCCTTCACTTGCTCAATCTTCATCATTCATTCACTATTGTAAACATAGTTTTCAGGTGCCTGGTACATAATATTAAAACACGTGCAATGTTTTAAAAGTAGAGACTGAGGAATGTAGAATCCTAAAGAAAGCATTTAAATCAGACCAGAGGGTCAGAGGCAGATGCCTTGAGAAAGAAAGTTTTAGATCAGTTTGATGCCTTTTTTTTTTTTTTTTGGCAGTGCTGGGGATTGAACCCAGGGCCTTGTGCATGCGCAAGGCAAGCACTCTACCATTTGAGCTATATCCCCAGCCCAGATCAGTTTTAAAATCTAAAGAATGACTGATATATGTAAATCCCAAGAGGCTTGGAAGAGAATAATTGCTTCAAAGTGGCACAATAAATTGTTCAATATAGGTAGTATGTGTAATAAGGTGGAGAGAAATGATGTTACTACAAGAGATGGGAGTTCAGATCATAAAAGGTCTTTATATGAAGTTGTGGGGTGCTGTTTAAGAACTGTGGCTAGGGAAATAACATTACACTGGCAACAGAATGGGGAGTGATTGGAATGAATGTCAATACATATAAAAAGTAAGTGGTTTCCTCCAAAACTCCCCCAATTTCCCTAAAAAATGGAACATATCAAAACTGACTCAAGAATAGAAAATATGGAAAATGTGTAATCATTAAAGCAATTGCTTTGCTAAGTATAAATCTTCCCTCATCCTCTGCCCCCGCCAAAACTAGTACAACAATTTTACTGGTGTCTTTTGCCACGTTTTAAAGGAATGAACAATTCTAAACACACACAACTAATAAGTGTGAGAAAACAAGGAAATGCTTCCCAATTTATTTTATAACTTTAGTTACAAAGTCAGACAAAGACAGTGAAGAAGAAAATTATGACCATGTAACAAATCAGCATGAATGCAAAATCTTAAATACTGTATTAAAAAAGTATATTTACAAAATATACTTCATTTCATCAAATCTAAGATGTACCCTTTTCACATTTAAAATGTGTAAAATCAGGGCAAATATTAACAGTAAATGCAATATCATTCTCTTTTTTCCTCTTCCTCTCTCTCTCTCCCTCCCTCCCTCTCTCTTTCTTTCATCCTCTCTCCCTCCCTTCCTTCAGCTCTAAATCAAACCTAAGCCTGGCAAACATTCTACCAGTGAGTTATACCCCTAGCCCCTATTTACTAGTATATAAAATAATAATATATGCAAATGGTACATTATGACTGAGTTTGGTTATTCTGAGAAACCAATTTGTCATTTAAAAATCCAAATTTAATTATTCACCACATTAATAAATTTAGGGAGAAAATTATCTGATAACTTCAACAATGTGAAAATGCAACTGATAAAATTTAATCCCCATTTATGATTTATAAAAAAATAAAGGAGTAGGAAAAAAGCGTAAGAAGCCAGGAATAGATGAGAATGTCCTTAATATCGTAAGGGATACCTACAAAAACTTATTGCAACATCATACTGAATATGAAATCATTCCCTTGAGATCAAGACTGTATTGACAGTCCTAACTAGCAGAATAAAGTAACAAAAATAATGAAAGATATAGGGACTAGGAAGGAAGGAAAATATGCTATTTTCAGAGTCTATAAATTATTACAATTAATAATAATAATGTTCAGCAAGATTGATAGATATCATATTTTAAAAAACAACTCATTTTGGAATTCTAATATGTGATTTTTAAAAATGTACTAATTCTGGACTGGGGATGTGGCTCAAATGGTAAGGCGCTCGCCTGGCATGCACAGGGCGCTGGGTTCGATCCTCAGCACCACATAAAATAAAGATGTTGTGTCCACCGAAAACTGAAAAATAAATATTAAAAAATTCTCTCTCTCTCTCTCTTTAAATAAATAAATAAATAAATAAAAATAATAATGTACTAATTCTAATAAGGACTATTACTCATAGTAATATCAAAAAAATCTAAGCCTACATAATTACATAATGCAAAGCCTTTAGAGAGAACTATGAAATTTAGGAAAAGGCATTATAAAAGACCTAGATAAGTGGAGAACTGCTCCAAGTCTAGGGATGTGAATACTTAGTATCATAAGGAATGTAGGTTCTCTTCAAATTGAACCAAAACAATTCCAATCAAAATCCCAATGAAATCTGGAACTTCTAAAAGGTAGGTAAAAGAGTAAGAAGAAAAAAATCAATATAAAACAAAAGCAAAACATAATAAAGAACTCAGAAACAGACACAAACACACATATACCAGAATTGCAGATACAGGTAAACCAAAGACAAAAATGTGAAAGGCAAAATTATACAACTTGTATAATAAAGAAAATTTTTAATCGACAGACCCTTAGCCATGCTAGCGAAGAGAAGAAGAGAGAGAACTCAAATTACTAGCATACGGGATGAAAAAGGCAATATCACAACAGACACTTCAGAAATACAGAAGATATTCAAAAACTATTTTGAATCCTTATACTCCAATAAATTAGAAGATAGTGAAGGCATCGATAAATTTCTTAAGTCATATGATCTGCCCAGATTGAGTCAGGAGGATATAGACAACCTAAACAGACCAATATCAATTGAGGAAATAGAAGAAACCATAAAAAGACTACCAACTAAGAAAAGCCCAGGACCGGATGGGTATACAGCAGAGTTTTACAAAACCTTTAAAGAGGAACTAATACCAATACTTTTCAAGCTACTTCAGGAAATAGAAAAAGAGGGAGAACTTCCAAATTCATTCTACGAGGCCAACATCACCCTGATACCTAAACCAGACAAAGA